AATGATAATGCAATTGACTCATTCCACTTGGTTGTAGCGGTGTCGAAAGCCAGGATAGCCTCACGCATCTTCTGGTAGGAATTTCCTTCATTCAAGATCAAATTTAGATGGATTTTCATTTGACCTCCAATTGCTCTCAACAACACTGCCGATTTTTATGACTGCTGGCAGCTTACTCCCACTCAATCGCTCGTACTGCAGAAAGTGCTCTTTCAACTTCAAAATTTATGGAAATAATTCCCCTTCATATTGAAAGTGGGATAGGCCATTATCCCTTGGAGCAAATTCATAATGCGGTGTCTCGCTTGGGGTTGGCAATTTGAAAGCAATTATCTCAATATTTCATAGCCATTGAAATTCTCCCCATTCTTAATTATCCCAACCAGACGTCCCTAAATAAATTTTCCCAACAAATTATGTACGAAACGATTAAAGTCTTGCTTTGCCTATAGCCACGTGTGCCTCCACCTGCTCTATCTCCTTTTGAAATTTTTAATCAATGATACCAAATTTCCACGATCCTTTACCAAAACATCAATATTATCCTCCGATAAATTTGTTCCTATCGACGAAGCGGTTTATGCAATCAAATACATTACACTAATTAAAGCCTAAATTAATCCCGACATTCTTCCTCCAACCACAGCAAAGATTTGGGTTCCAAAACCATCCATGGCATATTACCCCAAATAACCAAATATTCTTATTATTCTAAATTCAAATATTCATGCAAATTACCATATTAATATATATTAATTAAATAGAAATAAATAATTTAAAAAAATATACGAATTCGATTCATTAGAATTCCTCCGGTCGAATAAATTCCCCATTTCGCTACCTTACGGATGTTTTTCATAAAATCGAAAGATTACAATACAATTCTCGAAATATACGTATCAATTTATATATTCGATATTATAAATATAAATTAATAATTCATTAAATATTTAATATATATATATATATATTCATTTAATTCCAAATCATTCAATTAATTCATCTAATATTCCGTCATTCCTTTCATCATTTCATTATTTCATTCATATCATAATTTCCCCAATTCATTTCCCAATCATCCCATTCATCTAACGCAATTATTCGTATTCCATCGCAATTCACGTTATTATCACGATACCATTGCTAATATACTTAAATTACTTTCGCTTATTAATTAAACTACTACTACTACTTCTACTACTACTACTACTACCTCCATTATTACTACTACCATTATTGCTACCACTGCTACCACTACTGTTACTACCATCCTGCAGCGGCACCATTGTTAATTCCATTTAATATGTATATTATATATTACTATTTATTATATAGTTTATAGTTATTGTATATAATATATATATATAATGTAATATATTATTTAATGTTTTAATTCTGGGGTAATTTCCTCTTTCGTTCAAATTCCAATTCTTTCATTAAATCTTCATCCACCTGCATGTATGATACCGAAATATATGCCTGTGCATATGAAGAATTGAATTTGGATATGTAATGACATGTAAATGTCCAGGCTTCGTACCTCTGCCGCTGTCGGAAGTTCTAGATCGATGATGGGAGCCGGAGTCGTCTCTTCTCCTCAGCGGTGGGTCTGTAGCATGCATTTTAGGTCAAACGTGTGGTTTGCATCCAATGTTGATCTGAACCTAACCATGACCAACACGAATGAAGGAGGAAATTGCAGAAAGCCACTTGGCCTGAGATCTATACTGATTCTCATTGATTCTCCGAGGCGAACACACAGGGAGCGGGAAAGACCTACTCTCAACACGTCAGTCAGGATTTGAAGAGGTTAGCCTCCAAGTGCTACTTGATATATATTTTTGCACCAGCTAATGCTACGGAAGCTTCCAAAGCAGGAGCCTTGTGCCTTATTGCTGTGCAAAATATGGGTTGACTTACCAACATGCAAAGAATCATCTACGAGAGAAGTGAACCCACAAGTACCCGGGACGGGCGGGCTTCGACCCGAAAAATAAGGATATCCACGGATAGATTGCCACAAATCCACACAAGTCCATCATTCTTTCCCACTTCAGGGTGCGGAAGACTTTTGGGTTGGAGGCCATCGCTAGTGGGTTGGAGGCCATCGCTATTAGAAACAAAGAAAAGAGAAAAGGAAGAACAGTCTATATAATATAGTTTGCTTTTAGGAGCAAGGACGCTACTAGGGGCTACTGGCCTTGCTACTAGGAGCAAGAAGCTACAAACGGGGCTCCTCGCATCGCTACGAACGGAGCGATCAGCCGCTACTCGTTTGCTAATTCATAGTACTTTCTAGTTCGGCTCGGATGGAATCGAATCTTTCTGCGATCGCCAAGGCACGCTCATCCGAGCGGCTGTTCTCCTCTTCCTGAGAGGACAAAGGGATGGTGAAGTTCACCTATTGCCCACTATCCCTTTGCATCCTTTCTTCCATGCAAAACCATGCAAAACCCACATGAACGCCAGCTACTCTGGCCGTATTCGCCTAGATTTTTGAGGTCATCTTGGTCTCCACATCTCGTGCGGAGAAGGCCTTCTGCTCCAGCTTTTGCTTGTCGTCGTCTTCAACTTTCGAGTCCTTCAACCAGTATTTGAATGACAAGACATCACTCACAGCATGAGGACACATCTGACCTGCCTCCTCGGCTTTCTTCTGCTTCTTTTCCTTCTTTCTGTTTTTCTTCTCCTTCTTCTTCTCCTTCTTCCTCCAGGCCCATCAGCAAGGGAATTAAACAAAATATGACTCATATGACATGTTGTTGCAGTTTGCTACGCTTGCAACGCTGCAGCCAAAAGGCTTCCGCTTCTTTGCCTGGCATTGCGATCTGTCCAATGATCTCATGCGGCTACGTTGACTCCACAAGGAAGCATAAAGCCGACGTGCCAAAAGGACAAGCACAATCTGGAATTCAGTCCATCAAATCCCATGGTGTCCCACCTCACTTGACGACGAGGTTGCCCTTAGTTTTGTTAGACTTCGTCCGAGAAGTCATGCAACTTTCAACACTGCCTGTAAGGTGTGCAGTTCCTGTTCCTTGAAAAATGGTCCAGAGTTAGGATCTATATGAGTATAGTAAGTGCCTGAAAGTCTGAAAGTGTTTCTTTCGCTTTCAAATGAGGTTGGTGCCCAGAGACACCAGCAGCGCGCAAGTTCTGGGTGAGTAATTTGGCCAATGGAACATGGAAACCTCACGGTGCGGACGAAGATGAAGGCGAGGTTTCCGCATGCGGGCAGGGCCGACTTGGAACATGGAGCTTCTGCCCTAAGAGTGGGCAAATGAAAAGCAGCGGTTCAGTGAAGTTCAGTCAGGAACTCCTGTTTGAGAAGTTTGTCGGATTCTGTTGCTGGGTCTATCAAGGCAGGGTAGCCCTCTGTTCAGACCTGGTCAATGATGTCCTTCAGGCCCCATGGCACTCCATGTCCTTCGTCGCCCGTCGTCTTTGTTCGGCCATGTCCCTCTCGGCGGCTCCAGGGACGAACGAGTCCGACGCCGAGTCCATGGCGCCGCGCGAGGCGAATGCGTTGCGATGCGCTGCGACGCCCCTCGGTCGAGGTCGACTCGGTGCCGCTCGCGTGGTTGGACGAGACCGAAAGCGCCGAAGATCGAGCGAGACAGCCCTCGTTCGCCAGGGCAGCGGAAACTTTGTAGAATCCCATCGACACATGAGAGGTTTTTCACCCCATGTCGTTGTACACCGAAGTTCCTTGACATCTACCTTTGAGATCCCTTGAGTACCCCACAATAGATGGAATGGATGGCACCACTGATAATAACCGTGGTATGCGGTGGCTGGCCTGGATATGCGTCAACCAAAGCTCTATAGAAGTCTGCAAGCTTCGGCAGATCGCTCCTCTCCAGCAGGTCTTCAGCCTCATAAGGCGGGATGACTTTGACCCTGCCAGCATCATGATTGGAGAAGAATACTTGGTAATTAGTAGACTCTGTAAACTAGAGTACCTGCGAACTGCCATGAAATCCAAAGAGGCATGAACGAGCATTCAGCAGACAGGTTCTGCCTTCGGGTAGACATACTTGGCTCACGTGAAGCTCCCCAAATCAACCCGCAGCAGCGGCCGAAGACGAAGACGGTACAAATCGTGGCGAAGACGGACCAACTTATAAACCTTCGCCATTCAAAAGAGTCTACATGGAGCATCTGTTTTGGGTGCCCACGTACGTAGAAGCCCACGTATCTAGTGTTATTGGAGACACAAACAGCATGGTCCTAGTATGCATATGTGACATGTGTGTGTGATTGTGTGCGAGTGTGTGTCAGCCTACCTAGCCTACCTCATCCGTCAGATGTCATAAGCATCTCCAACATCTATCTGGTATGTGCGTGTTTGTGCTGTGATGTGCCCAACAATCGCCTCCACGGCCGCCTTTGGAGGCTTTTTCCCGTAGCGCTCGGCAAGACGAGCCTGCCCGTGAAAAGAATCGGTGGAAGATGGCAGTTTTAGCGTCCTGGGCTTGTAGGTGATGGGTGAAGGATTAACCCAAATGACTCAAAGTGACCAATCAAAACATACCTGGGTCATCCTGTCTGGGTGTCCAATAGACTACCCAGCAAACTGCTTCTGGACCTCCAGCCAGGACACCCAGAATGGAGAATGGATGATACTGGAATTAAAGCGTTGTATGAACAAACGACATCACCCACCAAGGTAGCCCAAGTAGCCCTCACCGTTGCGAGTACCTCCTGTCATGAATAGCTTGGTTTAGTTTGCATCTAGCAGATCGAGTTCCATCTCGGCAGCATTCAGCCATGTTGTTCCATCCCAAAAGACTCTTCCAACCCATGGGCGGGAAGAATAAACTTTAACAGTCCACATGAAAAGGGGCCTTGGACCATCTAGGCCCTGGGTATATAGGCGAATCATGTGACCTCAGGTCTCCATCTCCCAAGCAATCCCCAAAACATTGGACAGAAACCACTTGAGTTGAATCCTCAAAACTACCTGGCAAAGTGCTCCAAAAACCTCATTTCCAAAAAAACACAGCACCTGACTTTCCCCTAAATCCTTTAACAAAAAGCTTAGCCTTTGTCATCCTTTGTCCATCTGTTAATCTTTCGTGGGGAAACCCATCCCCAGACAAAGGTTAAAAGGTTATCCACTTTTCCTGGTACCCAGGGCACCAAAGAACACGCACCACGTCCATCTACCGGTCCAGAGCTCTAGAGCTCACTGTCGACACATCTCGACCTGGCAGGCTACCCACATGGCGTGGCCCGGCGACACATGGCGTGGCCCGGCGAAAGCGCGGCTCCGGAAGACCAAAGGTTTCATCCATCTCCTACGCCTAATGGACTAATGGATGTGAAGAGGTTGATCTCTCTCCTCCATCCTCCATCCCCATCCATTTCTTCCATTTTGTTCTGGTCCCTCCCCCCCCGGTGCGTGGGTCCACCACGCCATAAACCCGGCCTTTCCGCTGACCACCACAGGTCTTGGTTGAACGCTCACCGCTTCCGGCTCTGCCTTGGTGTTTTCTGATCGGTGGCATCAGCAGGTGAAGACATATGGTTTGACAGATCCAGGTTCGACGGATGCACAGGGACCACAGGATAGAGGTTTGATCTACACACAAAAAGAAGGCGTATAATACAATACGCCCCAGCAATCCACTAGCTTTTTTGTAGTGGATATCTCATGATATCTCTTGCTTTACCCCGGGCCCGTCGGTTTCGATGGAACCCCCAATGGCTGGAGCTGGAGTAGAAGTCTCAACTCAACACTTCAGGGAACTCTTCTTCATGCTACTGTAGCATAAATGTTGTTCTTTTATTTTGGTCATTTTTGGTCTATTGGGTATTCATCCCATCCTTGAACAGTTTTTCTGAGAAGAGAGTCGAACAAAGGAACGACACTCGAAACTCCGATCTGATCAGGAAAACCTCGGACAATCCATCGGAAGATTCCACATCATCCCACATCCACTGCAACCCATCGAAGTAGATTGGAGGCCATCGCTAGTAGGTTGGAGGCCATCGCTAGTAGGTTGGAGGCCATCGAAGTAGATTGGCGCCTCATCGAAGTTGTTGGCCGATCTGCTGATCGTCAGTCGCTTCGACGCTACTGAGCCCGGAGGGGCTGGAAGCACCTGGCGTTCGAGGGTAGTGGAGACTCAATCCATTCGTAACAAATAAACTGGATTGAAACAACCAAGAGATACCAAGAGTCCTTAATCCATTTGTGGAATTGAAACAACCAAGAGTCGTTGAAACAACCAAGAGTCGTTGAAACAACCAAGAGTCCTTAATCAAGAGTCTAGTCTACGGAAAAGCAAAGAATGAGGGGGGGTTGTGGCGAAAGCTATCATGGGCTGCGAAAGAGGATGTTGCGAGAGGATGTTGCTGTCGATGTAAGTCACAATATGATTTTTAGACATAACGGTATGAAGTGAAGCATATGGCATCAAGATAGGTCTCGATGGATGGATGCAAGCAAATGTGTGGAAGTGCGACAGGGCGACAGGATGTGAAGCACAATGGTGCTAAACGGATGCTATGAGATGTGTGTACGTGTGGATATGCCATGAAGCAAAATGGTGGATATGATGTGAAACATAAGGGTCGCAAGACGGACGCTATGACATGTGGGGAGTACGCTATGATCTGAAACATAAGGGTCCCAAGACGGATGCGAGGATAGCGGTGAGACGATGTGGAGCAGAACAACGCTGCCAAACGGATGCTATCAAATGCTATCAGCAGCACCAACTGCCCATACCTATCCAACCCACTTCACATACAGTACGAAGATTTGGGAACCCGATTTGGAAAGCGCTGAAAAAACATAGCACTAATGGGACATGCCTTGAGAAACCCCGGTGACCTGCGCTTGGATTTCCAGCGGCATCCAATACGGATGCTAGCAAATGTATGTGCGCGTCGAGAGGAAGTGGTGTCCTTGAGCCCCGCTGCCGCTCGAGATGTCCAACCGACTGCAGCTGATGAATCTACTGTGTATATATATATAATATATAAGATAATTAGGCACAGCATGGGGAAGAAAAGAACAAAACAGGGGAAGGCATGTGGTGTTGCAAGATGGATGGGAACACACATAGAAGAGAGCATGAGGATGAAGATGGATAATTCACTGGGTCGCCGATTCCATATCCCCCAGTCAAGGCCCCTTGCCATTTGGCAACGACTGGATTTGAGGAACCGGGAAAAGAAGGACCCGTCACCAGGGGTATACCTATAGGATAGTCTATAGGGTTCTGACCCACCTCTGCTGGTAGCTTCCCCATTGCCATGGGGGATTCACCCAGGAGCCGGGAAAGAAATCATCCGATCCGCTGGTTACCAGGGTAACTCCAACGTGAAAGCTGATGCGTGAATCGACAGACTGCCGATGCAATCACTACCTCGGCCGGGCGAGGAAAGCCCATCAATCAGTGTAGGGATGTGTAGCATAGCTGACTGGTGCTTAGCAGGGAATGAGGGAATGGATCCAATAGAATCTCTATTGGGGGCGAAACTTCCCTTATTCCCTACGAGTCGCACCAGTCAGATAGGGTAGTCTATCATTGGTCCCCAGTGGATGGTCCGACCGTCCTGGCACCAGTTCAGAAGATCTGTCGAGTCCCCTGCGCACAGGTCCCCTGCGCACACAACACTGAAGTGTGGGCCTCGCATAGCAAGTCGAAGTGCCGACAGATTGCTGTGATCTCCTCGGAGGCCTCGAGGAGATCAAAAAGATGTCAAGATCTGAATTAACGATCGAATCTGGCTGTGGATTAGAATAGGGAGACCCTCCACCTGCTGGGTTTTAGTGGATCTTTCAATATGCATAGCCTAATTCGGGTGTAGAAAGGGAAACCGGAGACCCTCCAACTACTGCTCGTCGATTTGTCCTCTTTGGAGGAGCCCTTGACGGGTTTCCCCAGTCCAATACACACCCAGCCTGAACAACTGAACAACATTTGCGGGTTATTGGATCACAACCGCAGGGGAGACCCCTAAAAGACCTCAGTACTCCATGCCAAATCTTCCGCTTCCTCTCAGGAGAGATTCAAAACTTCAATAGGTGTTTCGCAGTGTTCATCTCCCTTGCTCCTGCCGTTCATCACACTGAATCGATCAGGTTTGTGCAGGTTTTGTGGTTCTTTTGGCATCTTCTGCGCCAGCTTCGGCCCCGCGGGCTGGCGCATGGCACGGACCCAGCGGTCGGTACGGGAGGCGACCCGGCGGGATCGAGAAAGGGGTTTCCTGCCTTGGCATCAACATCCAGACCTCATCCAGGTTGCGTCTTGACTGGAGAAGCTGGTGTAAAATGGCTTGAGGTGGCTTATAACTGCTTCATAATAGGTAATTGATACATTTACATGTCCCAAAGGATAGATGAACCATCTTCCTATATTGACCCTCTAAAGCCAGCACGGCATGGAAACTCAGCTCCCTACCAAGCTTCTTGTCATCGTCACTGGCAGCAAACCTCAGTGCGCCAAACCATCCATGCCCAGCATTTTTTGACCCACTGACTTGGATTTGGCTGGAGGACCCCGGAAAACAAAATACTATTATTATCATCTATTTTCCAGAAGGGGATGGCCATATTTAGCAAACATCACCCAATCCGCAACACCAAGCTGACCTCTCAAACTTTGAGGCCCGTACCAACCCCAAGCAATCCAAGTTGGTTCCGAAACCGAAGTAACACACCATCCGACCCGTCCAAGGTGCTGGGCCAGTTTGGAGTAGTACGGCGACAGGCGAAGTCTGGCTGCCTTGGATTTGCTCCCAGGAACCGAAGAAAAAGAAGAAACACAATAATGATACAAAACTCCCGGAAGGGAGATTTACCCATAGGGAACCAACACAAAAACACCCTTTTCGCCAAACCAGGCTGCCATGGACGGTTTAGCCCGGAGTCATGGCACTCCGAACTCCGAACGCCGACGGTATGGCACTCCGTGCCAAACGAGACTCTCTGTCTTGCTCGACTAGTGCCTTCAAGAACGAAACGGAAGTGTGTTTTGAGCTCGTCTGTGGATTTGTCATGAAGCAACAACTATACTTGTATATAATAATCCCGAAACGGATATGTTCTAAGCATCTGAGCCAGCTTGGACAAGATCAAACTGCAGGTCAACTCAGAAGCAGCGCCACCTCCAAACCCATCAAGTGGTGCACAACGTCTCAAAAAGAGTGACTTCTTTTGGATGCGAACGACTGCACGGTCACCCTGCTGATGAAGCCGGCATCAAAAGACCCCAAACATTTAGCTCAAACATTTGAAGCTTGAAGCTTCTTGGCCAAATGCTCTCCCGCTGAAATGGGCATGTACCTGACAACCAAAAACATGAACATGCTGAAGGGACGACCATTTCTGCAAAAACGATTAAAAAACTCATGGTGTCAATTCAAGGCAGCAGTCTCGGTCCGAACAGTCCTGTCCGTTTGACCCAGTCTGACCCAGTTTGTTTGACCTCGTAAGAGTAGCGTTTTCACCGACCAAATGAGGCTTGTTCCTGACCTGTAAGGCATGTCAGGAGTCGACCACGCCACCGGTGACCACCGGTCGACCATCGGGCACTTGGGCGGTCGATCAGGGCTCACACAAGTAGGCCTGAGCTGTGATGAACACTCACCGTTAGCCAAAAGGGCATTACACCAAGTAAAATCGATCTGAACCTACAGCAAGACTGCTGTTAGTATTGTTTGAAGAATTATTATATAAGTGCTCAAAGACTAGAACATTGAATGACATTGACATGTTTATCCTGGATTTCCGCAAGGAACTGTTGCCCATGAGTCGGGGGATTCACCCACGGGGAACACAACAAAACGATCGGCAAAACCAGGTGTCGCAAGGCAGTTTGCTGAGAAAGCCACAAGGGTTCGACGATGGTGTCATTGGCAGGGCCAGTGAAAACGACCAGACTGATCCGATCATGTCGGTCCTTGGATCGAGTTCTCCCGAAGAGTATGACAAATAGTCGTATGGAATCTTGCCTACATTGGGTTGCTTTAGGTGTGAATGCAGGACTATGTAGTAGGTCAATGTCATATATCAATCTCAGTATGTGCGTTTCACTTCTGCTGGGCAGCTAAATGCTATTGTTTCGGGAAATGACACCTGCCGGTCACATGCGAATCAACACGCCATATCGCCTTACACTTGGATCTTCCTAAACTGAGAAGAAAACATGGAAAACTGTTATGTGGGTCAAAACGATGGAGTTTGACCTTCCAGGTAGTCTATTCTGTTCATTTTCCGTGGTCAACCAGGGTCCCCCAGTTTTGACCCACTGCCATATTTATGTCTTTAATGCCTTCTTGCTGAGTGGAGCACCCCAGGTGGAGGATTCGTCACTCGATGCCAGTTGGACATGAATTCATCATTGGTCCAGGCCTGGGTCAGACGTGGAGGTTGCGGAACAAATGGGGCGCTTCTGGCGCCACGGCCATCCGAACTGGAAGCGTGGTAGCTATACCAGTGAGGCCTATACATTCATCACCAACAGCACACCAGTAGGACGATGGGAATGGCCTATGAATAAACTCAAACACTCCATAGTAGGTAGGCTGGGTATATCCCATTCTGGATGACGATGATGATGGTGATGATGATGGTCTTCGGGAACGAATCCCTTCCCTACAAGTCCGAGTCTGAGTCAGTAAAGACTTGTCTTTGACTATGACCTCCTTGTGTAGTGTTTTTGTATGATGACCAATGTCCATGTCCAGTAAAATGAGGTCGCATTTAGATGTAGGAGTAAAAAAATATATATATATATATATAAACAATAGACACACACACGATCAAACACTCCATAATAGGTATATAGGATGGTATAGGCCTACCTTCACCCCTGTCCAACACCCCTGTCTACTCGCCCCGATATTTGCCATAGGTGGACCGGTGTGTGTGTGTGTGGCACATAGAGCTCCAACCAAGACCAGTCTTCCGGTCTGAATGGATTGGTGGTTCGTGAAGGACCAGTCGTGGACTCTCGGACCATCACGCCTTTTTCTTTACGACCCACATCCGAAAAAACGTCCGAAGAAACGGAACACGTCCGTTAAACCTCTGATGAAGGTCGATGTAGTAGGCGGATGGTCCTCCTTTCAGGGCCATGCACAAACGCAACCGTCACCATGACTTCGGGGAATCCGGTAGGAGAGAAACCACCGCCACGGTGGAACCAGAACTCCGCCACGGTGGCGCATGCACAACGCAAACGTCTTCGACCGGGCACCTGGATCAGGTCTCCTGCATTGATGGTGAACGCACCCGGCCTTGGGGGAATTCTGGTCGTCGAGTCTTCCGATCAGCAGGCGCTCTCGGGTTCCCACGTTGTGAGGAAATGACCGAAACACAAGTTGCAACGATGGACTTGACCGAAGCACAAATCACCAAATCGGTGACATCAACAAAGAGTCTTCTTTCCACGTCCAAACAGTTTTGGTTTGCTCGCCAAAGAATTGGGCGTGGAGCTCGAGAGTTCGGGCTGCCAACTGGAACCTCTCACATTCTGAGGATGTACGTAATTGATATCAAACGGTATCGACACATCAGCAGCAAACTGAGGGCCATGGCCCAAAACATCTCCAAAAGTCTCTTTCAAAAGGCATACTGGTTGTCACAACTTGAAAAACACAAAGAAAACACACCCGTGACCCATGGTCCAGAATCGAGGCAAACTTCCACATCACAACCAACTGACCAAGTGATTAGGTCTCTCATGGGGTAAAACCCGCACACTCAGCTGCGGGCGCTGGAGGGCAGTCCGCCCACGAGCCATCGGGCATACGGACTTGTAGTCCGCCCAAGGGCGGGTTGAGACCCTCCTTGGCCGTTTGAGGACCTTGGCGCTGGTGATGAACTAAACGGTTGACTCATTGGAAGAAAAGCAGAGGTTCTATATGGTTTTACAATCCAAATGTGTGTGTGTGTGTCTTTCTAGGGAATCAACCGTCTACAGTAGCTGACCTGATGAGATGCTAGCAGCATCATGATTGAAGGAGGATGTGTCACACTTTAGCGTGACAGCAGCAAGCTGAAAACATCTGCACTGAGCACGTGCCCCCATCCACTCTGTCTACGGAGGTTCAGTGTAAACACGGGGTTAACATACACCCTCCTATTAGTCTTGTCCGCCTCGGGGCCTGCAATACAAAGGCCTTTCCAAAAGGCTTCTAGCCCAGGTACAGAACCCCCCTTAATTGTATAGTTTGGTCCACCTGTCTCAGCCCCCAGTTAACCTCCTTTAATCCCTTTCTTCAACCACTTTAATTTCACCAATCCTTCATCCCGTGGTCCTCATTGTTGATGCCTTTGGCATTGCCCATTCAGCGAAACTCATAGTGAAACTGTAACTCATTTGGCATTGCCCATGTCATGCACACACCCAACTCAGCATTCTTCTGGATCATCTTCTCCATGGCATGGTCAAGGCACTCTACCATATGCTCGGTTTTCGTTGACATCTGTATCAGTCAATTTCATGGCTGCAGACTAAACCTCTCCACAGGTCCCCCCAAATCACCCAGAATCCCGGTTCCCCCGTAATCCCTCTATTCATGACCCCCCAAATAATTTGGCCCTCCGCGTGGTGGAAGACATATCAACCACCAATAAACTTGAAGAGATTTAGTCTTTGGGGCCTCTCCTCATGAAGAGATTGGGGATCCCTCCTCATGAAGTGATTTAGTCTTGGTGACCTCTCCTGATTGACCACCCCTAAATCAAAAAGAATCCCACTGTCTGGCCCCCCCGCCCAGCAGCAAACCTTTAGGAGGGAGTGTTTATTAATCCGGTGTCGCCATTACATGGAACAAAGGACCTGTCAATAAACACACATATTTATAATATAAACACTCATTGTTTTTCTTTCTCTCTCTCTCTCTCTCTTAAAATCGGGATCAACCTGTTTTGCATGAGCTGTACGCCTTTCATTCCAGTTCAAACAACTCTTCCAAGGGCCAAGCCAGTGATGTTGTGATCTTGCCAAAGAAGTGTGAAACCTTCAGTTCATATCCAAAGGTCTGAACAACAACTCTCATGGATGATTGAGTTGAAGTGTGTTTGTGTTATTGCAAACGGGATATCATATCACCAACATTCACCAACTGGATATCAGCACTGGTCAAAACATCACCAAACTTCGGACATTAAATGGCTTCATATCGAGTAGTTCCAAGAAATCCCCGTGATCTTGACTCCAGTATCTGCCTGTATAGTCGGTGTGCTCGCCGTAGCGCAATTGTCCAGGAAGTGGCTCCACTCCATCTTCATAGGCTGGATAGTATGCCAAGCGAAGGGAGATTTCGTTCTGGGCAGCTGCGAGGTACCCGGTTTGCATGAGCTCTGGACTCTCAAGACCAGCATGACTGCAAGAGTTCGGGATTTGAGTAGAGGACTTGATGGTTTTCGGATCGCCCTGCATCTCTTTACGCGTGCAAACACATGGATGACGTTGACAGTGAATTCTCGAGTGACTTACTGACTCCCTCAGCTTCCTGGAAATTGAAGGTCAACCATTTCTCCCTGTTCACTTTTGGTGGGAACACCAATCCCCAAAAACAGGTTTTGCACTGATGGTGTAGGCATGTGTAGCCTCATATGGGCTCGAATGCTTCGCAGGGCTTCACGTGACGCCGTGTTGACGTCCCCACCCCGCCTTGGTCAACTTGTCGGCCGTGAAGTAGCGATCGAAATAGTTCAATGGCAACTCCAAGGACGCGGCCGTGAGTGCCATCGAGGCGAGGAGTAGTCCCCTCAGCTCCTGGAGAGTGAAGGTAACCGGAGTGAAGGTCGAAGAACCGGTGTTGGACTGGGCAGTACTACGTGAACTCCGAATTGAACCCTCTTCTTGACTCATAAGACTTTACGATGTTTTTAGTTGGAGTCTTTTCAGCATCATGAAATGATGTCTGCATAGCTTCGAATAAACAGACCTCTGAAGCCGTGCAAGCATCCTGCCAGCCCCCTTTCCGGCATGATCAGCTTCATCACTGACTGTGAAGCTGTTCTATGATAGCAATGTTTGCAACATTGTTCCAGCTCATGTTCTTCAGAACCTGCTCCTCATACTGATACCCAGCGGAGTATTAATGGCTTGCACCAAAAGTGCTATATAGTGGATCTAGGATTACTTCGTTGGGCCAAAAAAAAGAACTGCTAAGTCAAGTCAGGAGCTTTAATCTGCCTTCTCCACCTTTCTGGAATTGATTCATGATGTTGCTACTCCAATGCCACATGTCTACATGCAGTATGTCTTTCATTCTCACGCATGGTATCGTTCACAGTAAGCTACGGCTTGCGTAGCGGCCGACGAGTGCCACAGAAAAGAGCCGGTGCGAAGCAATTTGTACGGGTACATCTTCCAAAAGAGCATGGGAAAAGCTCCTAGTTACTAGCGTCCTTGCTCCTAGTAGTACGGCCAGGAGCCCCTAGTAGCTTCTTGTTCCTAGTAGCTTTGTTTCATCCGAAATCTGTTTCCGCCCAAGAAATCCAGTGGGACTTGGGAAGTGGAAGAATCTCGTCGCTTCAAAACACGAGACACGTTGGAATGGTTAAAACGTTAATGGGGCGGTAGATATTCCACTCTCATGACAATGAAAAGTCTGGGAAATGGTTCCTTCATGTTCCTTCCATTTCCTGTACACAAGCCTAGTGCTCTGTCAGCTCTGCTCTCCTCATAGTAACGCTTCATGACCTCTCTGTAGTTCTTGACCTCCTCTGGCACGACCTGGGCAGTACTTCTGAGAGAACAAGGGCTTTTACAATTTTCACGCACAATCTCCACCGGTGTCCGTATTTACAGGCTTCGGTACTCCCACTTACATCGGATGGTGGTTGTATAATGTGTTAATGTTTATGAAATACATTTATATACTATTATTAGTTCTAGTTATGTATGCATTTAAACATATATTATAAGTGTGGATCCACATTCGACACAATCCCTGGGCTCTCGAAGAGTCCACTACACCTCGATAAAAGAAAAACCACTAATTAGTCGTTTGCATCCCATCATCCCATCATCCCATCATCTCATCGCATCACTGAACAAATCCTCTTATGACAATCTGCTCATCCCATTCGAGTTTGGAGCTCGCTCACAGCAGCGAGCTGTGGCCACAGCTCGCCGTAGCTCACCGTGCCATCCAGCGAGGCAACCCGGCACGAGCCGTGGGTGGAGGAACAAACCATTAAAATATATACAAATCACCGCCTATAAGTCACACCTATCATCATCTGTCCATGTTTTTGTGGGTGAGATTAACATCCTTTTAAGAATACAGTTTAAGAATACGATAGAATACGTTCAAACATCCCCTAGACGTCCAGTCTGACTCAGTAAAACTTGCTCTTGAAAAGCCTCCAGAGGAGTAGTGTATTTGTATGACCAACTCCACCAAGTTCAACAAACAGGCGACCATGGGTCTCGACTACTGTAAAGAGGCAGCCCAAAGCGATGCAAAGAGCTTCACAATTAGATGTGCACACGCCCAAGAAACCGGCATATCACCTTCGGCCACTTGGCTACGAAACAAAGAACATGTCAAAAAAAAACCACTCCAGCCAATCAAACAGTTCCTGACCTACCCAGTTCCTGACCTACCTGTAAGGCAGGGTGTGTTTTCGATGTCTCTTTTGGCTCCCAGTTCTCCGGACTCCGACTCCGACGAGCTCGTCCGGAGTCTGTCGGGCCGCATCCTCCTCTCGGCCGTAGAAGATCATCGACTCCACCCGGTCGGGTGGCCGTGCCTTCTCCGAGCCCAGGACCTCGAGCCCGGGCCGAAGCGGAGGAAGAACCGGTTTCATGGAGCCTGTGGAAGAACTCCATGTACATATTCATATAATATATAATATATATATATACATACATATTAGATATACGTATTGCTAGGCCAGCTAGGAGTATGCACTCCAGTTATAGAAAACAACTCCACAGTTGCATATCCATATGCTAGGAATATGATGGAATATGCAATCCGGAAAAGAACAACTCCATGGTCGCGTATCCATATGCTAGGAGTATGCAATGCAGAAATTAGAGGATAGATAGATGATAAACGAGGATAGAATACTCTAAGACGATCTAATTGCCATTGACCTCTACATAGACTTGAGGCCCTGGCTAGCAGCATGGGGTGCCTCTTAAGATCTAGAAAACTTGAATGCATGAGATGTTTGATGAAACTCCTGATGTATAATTAAGGTATATAGACATAGACCTTCACTCCTGTCTCAATGAGGTCATGAGAATCTCATACTCGGCTCCAATTGACTATGGACATGGTTTGTATGTGAGTGTATGTCAGCCCGATATGTCTATCACCCTTAGCATCTCTCGTCGATAGGACCTCTTGACGGCGGAAAAGGCACCTTGCCATCCGGCAATTCCGTGGCAGTTGCACTAACTCGTTCTGCGCCAGGCCCGGTGTAGCCACTGGAAGCCTCAAAAGGCGCTTTGGCTCTATAACAAATTCAGAGGGGTGTTCCTTCACATAAGAAATGACCTTGTCCGCTTCAGCAATCCACTGGAATCCACTCCATACTTGAGGGATGTGATTGGGTCAGCCAAATTGGATTTGTTGCTGAGCCGCTTGTGAGAAGCGCTACAACTTAGATCAAATCAGATTTGGAAACGAAATCAGCACTCAACGTGTCAAAAACAAGTTGGCCCGGAGAGAAGCTTGACGCTTGAAGGCGTGTTCTCTCCTTGTGCAGCTTTGCAATGCTTCCATACAGTTCAAGAAAACTAAAACTTGTATATAAATGCCAGAAGAATGCCTTCCAGGCACGCTGGGAACAAAGTCTGTCTTTCTCGAGCCAACTGCAATGAACATAGTTACAGGATGTTACCAAGTCACAAGAACTTGATGGCTTTAAACATCGTTTAAACACCACCCACACCGTTGATCATCAACACCAACACCATCATATGCAACACGGGTTGATGACAACTGACAACCCCGGAAACAGGTTGGCCCATCTTCCCGTCTGAGCCCATCCCCAAACATGGCAAAGCTCACCAACACCCTGGATGGGTCGACCCACATGGAACCTAAAGACATCTGAAATAACCGCGTCAGGTTCCGTGATCCGTTCAGGGAGACCGATGTGGGTCGAGGTGAGACCGATGTGAGACAAGAGAACCGAGTCCGAGTGACTCCATAAGCTTTTCCTGTGTCGCAGCGTTGCTTGGCTTCCACAGGCAAAGTGAAGAACTGGCGGGCTACGGCATAAGCTTCTTCAATGACCTCATCCTGACACGAGACCGAGGACCGAGAGACTCATCTCTGGTGGGTTTGGGCAGATCAGACAAGTTTAGGTTTAGGCGGCCGCCAGGTGTTGATGCTTTTCTATGTTTTTCTCCATCCAAGTGCACTGACACATTATGTTCACCGCTGATCCAGGCTCAATCTCATGTCCCTTCTAAATCCTCTAACTCTGCCAGTGTTTGTGACTCAGCTCCGTTTGTTTCTGGTTCTATTTACACGTCGTTTCTTTCTTCCATCTCTACCCAAGAACCCTTTCCTTGGGTCACCTTCTTGCTTCGTTATCCTTGACCTTCACCGGCCGCCCGCTTCGCTCGTCGCCTCGCTTCCCTCGACCGCGGGTCTGGCGCCTGGATTCCGTGCCCCGTGGCTTGGCAAAAGCCGAACTCCGCGAAGGCCTTGCGCCAGGCACGGCACACGTGCTGAGCCTCCTGGCGCCGGCAGGCTCGGCGCGTGAGGCTTTCGTGGGGGCTGACGGGATGAGGCTTTCTTGTGCCTGGTTTCTGGTGCCTGGACAAGATGATAAGACTAGACCAGGAGCGGCATAGACTCTGCGTCTACTGGACCTGGAAGACTTCGAGGATTGCAGATCGTTTCTTTACAGGGAGGTTTTGAGACGGGCGCCGAAGGTGTCACTAGCTCTACTAGTACATCGGATTCATTTGCCACCAAAGTGCCTGCCTGGTAGAGACCATTTCAAAAGGACCTTTAAGATCTATTCAAGAACACAGGTGAGTGTCCCAGCAAGCTAGCAAACTGAGGCGACAAGCTCGTCTTATCTGACTTGACTGGCTGGCTCACACACCTCACATTGTAACATCACCCTTAGGACAGTCCTCTGGCAAGTCGCTGATCGTTGCATCTGGCCTGCGAAAACAACACATGTGCAGATTTGCAAAAGGGCTGAGAGACCAAACCTGACCAACTCATGATAATTTCTGTAGATGATCACCTATTCCAGATCCTGCGGAAGGAATCTTGTAGGTAACCAGGTACCTACCAAACGCCAGATGTTCCTGCACCGAAATGAGACGTGGAATTTGACTATACCCCGACATCCCTTCGCCAACCATGTCTTGAATGAACATCCCAGGCCATTGAAAGTCTAGACTTCGAATTAAGTCCAAATAGTCAGGCAGCCTTGGAAAAGGCTCCACACCCCAAAAACGACTCTTAGCACAAGTTAGCACAATTCCGATCGTTCCTATGATCCTGCTTTTTCACTAATCAGTCAATCGCACATTGTCATGACTGTCATTCGACTCGATTGGGCATACACTCCCATATACAGTAACATGTGGACGAAAACAAGCAAAAAGAGACTGGATACTTTATGATACTTGCAGGGACGCTGGTCTTTCCATCCGTGGGATTGGCATTTCGAGGTCAAGATCAAGAGTACCCAGATTTGCCTGGATGCATCTCGGTATTCTCGGAGAAAAGGGGACAAGTCTATCACCGGAACAGCAGCCATCAGAGCCACTCGCGCGGAATCCGGGCGTAGACAGGCTGCCAAAAGCAAGTCATGCAGTACGTAGTCTGTACTGCTGATCTCGTGAAGCATTCGTGGATCCGCCCTGCTGCATCATTCGGAAAGACCTGATTCGAGACTTAAATAGATTATAGATTTGATGGGAATGAATCGTCTGCCCCTGCTACATGACATCTGGGTCAACTCCAGTAAAATGAGGTCATTGACCTGTAGGGTTAGATATGGTTAGATTCATGCCTGTCCTGGAGCCATGATTTCAGCTCACAGCAAAAGGGAACCAACATATGAAGAGTCTGTGCAAGCACGGCTACTTAGGCTTGATCAAGAATGGCTTCTTCATGTTTCTTGCTGAATTATCCAACATAGATGTCAGATCGATGTATCAAACACGGTTCGATGAGGTCCTCTGCTCAGCTCTGAGAGTTGAACTTGAATCATGAATCATCAACCTCTTCTGTCCTACCTTGTTTGTCGTTTCAACTAGAACACGCACCACGCCTAGCTTCTTAATGCGTTTTTTTTTCAAAACCAGTGCCTCAACGCGTGATTTTCTGTGTGTTGCAGGGACCTTAAACCATCAAGCATCAATCCACTCAAAAGATGGAAGTGTGAACACATCCCTTCTATTCTTGTCCGATGGCTCTCTCTCTGACTACAAACCACTAAGCTACAAAGGCCAAAGGTCATTGATGGCCATTGGCTCCCTTGATATGAATGGGGACTCAGAAGTGGCGCAAGGTGGCATGCCATTATATATCAGACGCACCCCAAATCGAAGCAACTTCCCAGACAAGAACCTCTCATGATCCCAGTACAACTCCACACAATGTATCCTGATGCCATGTTCCAGGTTCCATGTTCCCCATCCAACCAGGACCGGCACAGCTTTTCCTTTTCTCGGCTCGCACCGGTGACCCAAACCAGGACTGTTTCAGCCATCAACCGGTGCATCCGTTAATGGCTGCGAGGCCAAAGGACCGTCGGGAGCCGTGAAGCTCCGCATAGTTCACCTTGTTGCGGAGACGTGGTGTCCGAGGGGCAGTGGACTTCAATGGTTGGGAACTTCATTGGGACTCTATATACAACAACATGAAGTGTAAAGAGGGACTCTATATACAACATAAACAACAAACATCTATATTCTCCATATTTGGAAAAACAACATGAACAAACAGGACGACTTTGATGGAGTGTTCAATGGACTTCCATGATTGGGACATATATTAGGAATAATATACATCATTCTATACCATGTACATCCATGTACCATGGTGCCACTCGCTTGTTTTTTCAATAGCTTCTTTGAATCTCCCAACGAGATCTTCCAAGCTCTCACAGGTTCCCCTCCTTTCAAACGACTCAGGTGACCATCTGTCGCTTCCGCAGAATATCCGCCAACGTTCCACCGATTCCACCGAAGTGTCGGCCAAAGACATTGCAGGCAGCCCGGCGAGTTTCAATCTGTTCAACCTTTCATGTTCGACTGGCGACCAATTTGTTCACCCAAAAAGCACACTCCAAATTCACGCTTGAAAAAACACCACCTTACACCAATGGCTTGCTCATGTTGATGAAATGCAGCACTTCATGTATCGATGCCATCATAAAATACCTTCCAAATTGAAGGCTTCCACATGCTGTCCATGTTCCGACGAATGTTCGGCTTCCATCGAATCTCCGACCTTTTCGGCGGTTTTCACATGCGACGAGGGGCCCAAGCGCCGGAGTGTTCGAGGCCTGGGCGGTCGTTTTGGAGAAGCATCACCACAGTTGGGTGTGGATTTGAGGGAATTCCTCTGGCTATGGCACGGCTCGTGGCAGGACTATTTCCATCGGGCCTTCTTCCAAAAGGTTTTTCAATAGGTTTTTTCGTTACTTTTGATCGTTACTTTCTTCCCTAATGACTTTAAGACGCACCCAGTCCACCCAAACATCAGGAAGAATTCCCCCCGACCGCTATTTAGGCCAATCAGGTGTCCGGTCCCATGGAGTGCGGAATAGAAACGCCACGGTGTTTGGTGTGGGGAAGGTACATGGACAGTGCGAAAGCTGTACATGGTGCCAGGTACATGGACTTCTTCAGGATCCTTGTGCGCCGCCCCTGGGAGTGGACCCATGTCATTCCCTGGGTGCGTTCCAATATGTTTCGCCGATCTCGAGCTTTGTAGATCTGAAGGGTGGAAGCATGAGGAACTGCCAATGATTCCAAGAAGTTCCAATGATTCCAAGTAAGTTGTTGGCACTTAGAATCTACTCAGAACAATTACCTGCAGATAGAATACGCACACCACATCAAAAAGTAATTCTTTTTTGGTAGCATGCAGTTAGAATACGAGGATCATGCACTTAGAATCTTGGAACATACACTGCACATGGTAAAGAACTAACAAACACAATCTATATGTGCATGTGTGTGTGCGCATCAAGGACCACGAGCAAACTCTGGCAGCCAACTGTGCTGGCACACCAAACTAGCCATTTGAGCCGTTCTGCCTTTTCACCCCACATCGCAAGCCATATTCGTGCCATGTTCTGTACTTTTGAATTGATGCGCTGTTCATGCATGTAGCCAAACCGCATCGGACCAAAAGCTGCTGGTCTTAGTCCTTATGGCTTGGCTCTTGTGCAAGCAAGAACAGCTACAATGCAGCAAGCAAACAAACAAGCTTATATTCTAACTTTTGTATTCCATGTGGGTTCGTTGCATTTAGCAGTGACTTTTTTCCAGCATGCACTTAGAATATGACTAATTCAAGAAATCTGAATTAGTCCGTATTCTAAGTGCTGGCAACTACTATAAGTTCCTCTGGCCTACTGACCCGTGGATGGATGACTTAAGATGGGCCAAGTCAGGAACACACGAACCCCCAAAACCCATTCATCCTGAGCTCGCAGCAATCGGTCGTTCCCACTTCGCCGTCGCCAACATGCCTTCGTCGACCGGCGATGGTTTAGGCATGTTGTACGTCACATGTCCTCACATGGTCCATCTCCATCAAACACCCCGTGGCCCAAACCGGGCGGAAGCGCGGAAGCCGCGGCCCGCAGCAACGACGTCCCAAACCAGAAGCTCTTGACTCTGGGGGCCTGGAATCCGTCCGAGTCCAAAAATGATGGGTTCATTGGGAGGGAAACATCTGAACACGTGTGGCTGTGAGTCACACATGTGGCTACCATAGGCTACCTGGGTTCTTTTTACCACCCCAAATGAACAGTCTGGACTGTCAAGCTACCCGGGTACCTGGTGATCCGGATGACCCACACTCCCCCAGCCCTGGTACCGGGGTATCCTCTCCTTGGCGCTGGCGTTCCGCGCGCGTGCGCGGCGCGCGTGAAACCGGTGCAACCGGTTCGGTGCAACGGTCAACCCTAGCAAATCGACTCACGGTGTGCCTCGAATCCACGACACAATCAACCGCTCAGTGACGTCATGAAATACAGGTCAGTTGGTCATATGTCATACAAAACACGACTCAAGGATGTAAACAATCACTAGGATTTCCAGGAAGCTGGGAGAAATACAGAAGGGGGTTAAAGCCACTTCGAGAAAATATCAAATCACCTGATTCCGCAAAATCCGGTTTGGACCTGGGTCAGACTCGTGTGGTCTCGTTACCCGGTTTCCCCGGTCTCCGCCCAAACCGCGTCACGCGGGGTACACCTCGGTTCGTCCCGACACCGCACCCGCCCACGATGAAGATGTGCCCGGCACGGCTGGCTGCTCGGACACCTCCGGGCGTTTCGCATCAACGGAGCAAGCGGAAGGTCACCAGATTTGAACCGTCACTCAGGTGACCTAAGGGGCCTAATAAAGTAAGCCTGGAATAAGGGGTTTGTTTTCCTACTTTTCCTACTTATTTGATGTTATTTGAACAGAAAAGCCTGGAATAAGGGGCCTTTTTTGGCCTAACAAACTCTGGGTCTCGGTCCGTGGCGGGCTCGCATGTCCACTTGCGAAGCCACACGGTGCAACATTGTGACCAGACTTGCAATGGATAGTTTGTCCTCAGAGGGTTTGAGGGAAAGAAATGGAAAGAGCACGTGAACCTGTTGCTGATTTGGGTGGTTCTCTCTGCAGGTATAGACCAGGGTGAGTGGCGCATACTCGAACTTGAGCTGGTGACGACAAGATCCATGTGACTTCGTTTCGGGACGTGAATCCTCAAACTACACCGATATATAGCTGCTGACCAAGCAACCTTTTGATCGGTGTAGTTCGAAACAACATTCCAAAATGGAAGTGAAGGATGCACGTCTCTTTTGTGCGAGGAAAGCGGTCGTCAAACTGAAATATCTTCGATGTTGAATGTCGGCGTCGGCTTGACCGCAGGAGCACACGCACTGATCTTCTCAAGACAGTTTAAAGGGGAACATGACCCCCCTACCACCAAAACAACAAGGCATTGACTGTTCTGATAGTGATTGGCATTGCTGCATTTCATACAACACATCACCCTGCTTCTATATTGCAAGTATAAAATAATTAGATTCAAGAGAAACATAGAACCATGCACCTCGCATGCACATCGCTCCAGTGCTTCTTAAGCTCAAACAGACCTCATTTGCACCGTTCTCAGCCTCAGGTAAACCTGGACGAACGACCGTGGACCTGCCGACGAAAAGGGCCGACCGTCGGCGAAAACGGGCGGCGGCACCCCATCGTGGCACTGGAAGGACATGCACCGCTTCCCACCTGGGCGCGTCATGGGCGATGCGCGTCGTGTGTCGCTTTTGTTTGGCGCCGGCGGTCAATGACTCGGATCGAAAGAAGCACATCTAGTTATGGGCGCCCGAACATGGAAATACCCAAAGCATCCATCAAACTGGAATAGTTATAGTATACAGTTATAACCTACATTTGGGCCATAAACTGTCTGCAACCATTCCCATACCTAGAGATCATAGAGCGTCATACCTTGATGACTGGGCGGCGCCCGGTTTCGCCTTTTTTTTTCTCCCAACTTCGACTTCATATGATCCCAAGGTCTGCAATACACCAACAGTTCCATGGAGTTGGGTGCCATCCATGGAAGTTAGGTTTGGGGTGCCCCTGTCACATTCTTTCACTGGATGGGACTAAACACAACCCCTGACATGTGACTTCTGGCACATGCACTTTCTCCATTTCACCGATGTCACCCGCTGAACCTCGTTCCCCCCCCCGCCCGGCGGACCCTGCGCCATGGGAGGGGTCGAACTGCTCCACGGTATCGACGTCGCGTGTATGATCCTTGGGGCCGTTTGGGCATCTCATGTTCGAGTTGGGCGAGTTTTGGAAAGCCACCCCGGATGAACATCCCAGACCAGATGAATGGGAAGAGTTTAATGAAAGCCGAACATGACCCCAATGTAGGTAACTATGAATCCTTCGGCCCGACTTCTTCTACGCACCCTGCCACCCTTCCCGCTTCGGACCCGGATTCTTGGGGCACTCAAGATGTTTCTTCAAGTCATTATGTAAGGAACCAGCACTTCTATATAGGTGGCGTTTGCATTTTTTGTTCTTTGGAACCACAAAAAAAACCAGGTGAACTAGTGATTGGCTTGCCTGGATTTTCTGGATTTTTTTCCCACCTAGGACCTCCCTTCCGCGGCGAAGTGCCACGTCGTTCCGCCGTCCATGACCGGCTTCCAGGACCGGTGTTCGGAGACCTACACTACTTGTGTGGGGCTGCCACTTGGGAGTAGCTTGGATAATTTTTTATCGTTAATGGATGTCTATCACATGGGTGAAGCCCTAGTTAGCTGCAGGCTATGGGGTTTTAACTTCTCAGTGGTGTGGCTCTGGATCGGCGTTTTGGTTTTGCGGGTGCTGCTGCCGTGGTGATGCTGGTGTTGGTGCTGGCTGTGGGTCGGCGTTTTGGTTTTGCTGGCGCTGCTGCCGCGCTGATGCAGGTGCAGGTGCAGGTACTGTTTGCGGGGCGCTGCCGCCGCTGATGCTAGCGCAGGGCTGGACCGACGTTTTGTCATGCTGGTGCTGGTGCTGGATCGGCATTTCGTTTTGGGGTGCTGCTGCCGTGCTGGTGCTGGTGATGGTGCCTGGCACATTGATCGTTTCCTGTAATGCCAGGGATATCCAGGGATGACATATTTCATGCCAGAGATGACATCATGGCATGCAAGGGATGATCTCACGTCACGCCCAGACTTGCCAGGCATGGCATCATGGCATGCCAGGGGTGACATCATGTCTTGCCAGGGATGACATGGTGTCATGCCAGGGATGACATCATGTCATGCCCAGGATGACATCATGTTATGCCACAAATAACATGCTGTCATATTGCGCATGACAATATATTGTGCTCATCATGTCATTTGACCAGCTTCGGCTGCCCATCTTACAGTTTGTTCGTCTGTGTTGGGCAAGTCGGGCGCATTCCGGACTGGTCTGATGTTGCGTGCTGCGATGACAACCATCCGTGGCGTGTTCTTTAAACCTATGCGCCCGCTATCTGGGGTCTATGCCGGTGTAATTTTTTGAACTGACCGGGGCAATTTTATCTAAAGGTAAGAATGTTACTCCAACCATCTCCTCTGGATCTTCCTGGTCTACTCACGTGGCCATTGAAGCACCCAAAGGCTGCATGTGATGTCCCATGAGTTAAGACTGGACACCAATCCATTTGTGTTTCCATGCTCCCAGGGTTCACATGAGCGATCGCCAAACCCTGTCCTTGCTACATCGCTTTACAGGGTGCGGATGCCTTTGTCATATTTCTTGAGGATTTCTCTTGAAAATATAGCCAAAGTGAAGTGCACATGGATATGGGTAGTGGGCCGTGCGCTGTCCACGTTGTCCCGTCCTCTTTCCATGCAACGCGCGGAACGAGCTTCTCGCAGCGGACCCCCGGGCTCCCAGCATCATAGCCGCCGGCGACCAGGATCCGTCCGGCAGAGGTGGCGGCTGCCTCGGCGAAATCGAGGGTGTGCGTCTGTCACGTAAGGTTAAAAGATTCTAACAGGCTGGCTGGGCGGAGTGATGTGGAGTGAGAAGGAGGATTAGGTGATGTTAGGTTCGTTGGTAGGTGGGTAGCGTACTTCCTGGCTTGATGGTTGCTGGTTGGTTGGATGTTTAAAGTCACACCGTGCTGCGGAACTGTTTCGTTCCCGTGCAGGAAGGGATCTGGCATCAGTGGACAGCCTGGGCCCCTGGCAACACAGTTAGGTCGCTACGTGGGCTCCAGATAGCCCCACGTGGGCTCCAGATAGCAAAAAAAACACAAAGGAACTGTTAGGGGCTGGCCACCTTGTTTGTTTCCAAGCGTCCCGCCAGTGCCTGATGCCTGAAAAGGCCCAGCATCGCTTTCTGCAGATGCGAACAATGTCTGCATCTGCCGTTCTTCGAGGTTCTTGGCCTGCATCGACTAAAGACCTTTTCCAACAGCCGGCCTCTTCCTGTTCAACTGGGGTATCTGCCAGAGTCCTGCAGAAGCTCACGCAGGAGCTTGCATCACGGAGTGGTGCTGGTTCAGTACTGCATTCTTTTCTAAGGGGCACGGTGGCTTCGCTTACACCTCCACATAGTGAGCCGACTCTATAAAGATAGTAAAGGCCCAAGAAAAATCCCCAACAGCTGGGCATCAAAGCCCGCCGCATACTATAGGCGAGGGCACCATCGCAAGTTCACCAACAAGTGTCGTGTCTCTGCCAAACGATGCTGTCTTCAAAAGTGTGAACCTTTTCAACGTCCAACGCGAGCATGCCAACATGGCAATACGTCGGTATAGCACATGGCATGTGCCCACATATGTGCAAGCACGACAACGCCACTACAAGCTTGTAAGAACCAGCAAGCCCTCCTCTGACCCAACTCTGGAATCTGCCAACGAGTCAGCGAGACAGCAAGACCCAATCTCAGCCTTTGAGAGTGACTGCCCTATGCCAGCGCGCCAGCATGACAACATATCATCGTGACGCCACACAAGCATATCCGCGCATCGGCGTGGCTACATCTCAGCGCGTCAAAGAGACACAGCGAATCTGCAATGTCCTCCGGAACGTTCCACCGGAACCTCATCCCGGAAGCTGCGGAAGCCCCCTCTGAATACACCTCCTTCCATCACCTGCTCCGGGGAACTTGTGCTCCGGAACCTGCTCCGAAGTCTGCCAACGATGGCTGGTCGGACCCCGTAGGCTTCGCTGGGTTGAGAAGTCTATATCCCTTTATATCCCCATGCATGACACATTGGTATAGAATATGTATGCCTACCTTGGGGTGGTTTCGGCATATATATATACCATACATGGAGTATCTAGGTATGGAAGCATATGGAAGTGATTGCGTTTAGGGAAGTCTATAAACCGAGTTCTGCAGCCTCTGGTCCACATCCTCATGCTGCATGGCGCCAGGGCGTGCTCTGCCAGGGCTTCGGGCAAAGTTACAGCGAGCTCTCCGCATCGAAGGCAACACCTCCTGGCACGGCGAGAAGCGCAGCGCAGGAGCGGCCAGATGGAGTGGGATGGCCTCGCTGCGGGTGCCTAAGGGGGGCGCTGGGAATTCCGATGACAAGGGGCATCATTTTTCTTTTTTTTTGTAGCCTTGTCATCGGTGTTCATGCCATTGTCATCTGGTGTGGATGTATACTGTATACTTGTCATGGGTTTCCAAACAACAAAGAAAGCTATAGACCCCTGTGAGAACTCAAGTGACACATCACCCCAATCAAGCTATTTTCTGGGCAACCCCTGACATTCAATTATCTACTCTGTTGAAAGCCCAAGCCCCTGGTTGACACCCAAACAATCGACAACATGAACCAAGTAACAAACTGCTCTACCACCAATCCCATATGGCCAGACCACTGGGATCTGTGCACACCCGATGCTTCAAAGACGCCTTTGTCGCCTTTCAAAGAAAACTAATCCAGCCCGTGTTGATGCCTTTGGCCCCTTCCAAAGCAATGCCAGTGGTGCCCAGCGGGGTTGACCCAGAGTGAGATCCAAGCTTTCCGTGGAGGACAGCGCCACACCATCCTCGCGGTGAGCGCTCCGGGACCCTCCGGGGAGAAGCTTTCAGCGCGAAGATCTGGGCCTTTGGAGGCCATTGCCTGTTTGCACAGTGAACCTAATAAGTAGTGTGAGAATCACTGGCTTAGGAGCCGAGGCTACAGAAAAAATGGATGGACATGTGATAGCTCTTTTGAGCTCAATCTGCACTGCCCCTCATTCAACTAGTCCCAAAGGTGATTTGTGATTTGTGCTGTTTTTCGTTTTTTAAACGTGTGTCAATGTGTATCACATGTTGTGCAGAGGACAAAACAGACTTTGAAGATCAAACACAAATGAAAAGATCGCCACACACGTCGCACCACTTGATCGCCTGACACACTTGAACTGATGCCGTACTTGTTGCTCCATGGGCTCATGAATGGAAATTGACTTGTCACACAAACTGAACTTCTTGAACGGTTGCCATGCGACAACATTGCATCTTGAAACCTATGTATAAGCTTAGTTGGACAACTTGCAAAGTTTAACCATGGAAGGGCCCTGTCATTATTCAACCCCTACCACCATCCCTTACCCCTTCAAAAGAATTGACTTTAACATATATATATATATATCAAATCCCAAAAAAAATCCGGCCATGAAGTTCATGAAACTCTTCAGCAATATATAGTTTGATTTACAATAGATCATCTTCATATCCTCAAGAACCTCGATCCAAAATCGCAAAACCCCTCTCACCCACCGCGCGGTTCACCGCGCGGAACCGCAGGCACCTCATCGCAGCCCCCCAGCACCACCAGGCGCCGGTGCAACGCCACCGCGGCCGCCGCGCAGCGCTCGCGGGTGAGGCGGGGAAGCTCCTAGGGAGGCGAGTGAGGCGAGGCGTCCGAAGCTCCAAAGAAGGTGTTGCTCTTTTGGTAGGTGTTCGAAGGCACGAATGGTCATGGTCTAGAAACCACACAGATTACATGCAGAATGTGTGTTTATAAGGAATTGGACGGCAAAACCAGGTCAACTGAACTTTCGTAGTCGCCTAGTGGTCTTTGAAGGCATAGGCACGGCGAATGATTGGTGGTGGTTGAAGAAACATGGAGGCCATTGGCAGTCAGAACATGTCAGAACCAGGTTTCTAGAGCACCTATATACAGTATAATAATCAATCTCTCTCTATATATATATATCATATATCCTTAAAAAAAAACCAAGACATTTGTGGATGGGTATAGTGTGTGTGTTCTTCTCAAGTACATATAAATTACAGTATGTTAGATTATGGTTCTGAAATGTTCTGAACGTGACAAGTCAGTTTTCTATTGAAACACAAATCTCTGTGGCTTGCTTGCGAAAATGCAGATTCTCGGAAAAGGGCAGTCCTTTGTTGGAGTGTTTAAGTTCCAGTTCCGGGATTGTGAGGAATCCTGGGTGGCGGGATAACTCAGACCTGAAGTAGATGGAACACATCCCTAGATTAGATTCGGTGCTTGCAATTGAACCCGCCAAATTTGTAGTTGACATTCTCGTAGTCAGATCTCTGTTCACTTGCGGCAGGCTTGCCGCAGCAAGTTGAGGCCTTCTTCCAGTGCGGTTCGGTCGAAATCCTGCCGAGGTCCGTGTCCAGCTGGTGGTTTGCAAAGGGTCTGATCTGACTTTGCAGCTAATGAAAGGGTTGCACTTGCGCAGGCAGAAGACTGGTGTTGCAAGTGGAGCCGCAGCAGCTTCGGCTCCAACGATTTGCTGTTTGCATGTCTTTAAAAGTTTGGCTTCTTGCTTCTAGTAGCTATGGCCTCCAACTTAAAATCGATGGCCTCCACCTAGTAGCGTCCTTGTTACTAGTAGCTCCATGTCTACATCAAACTCCAAACCATCCTCTCACCCACCCACTTGGAATGGCCATTCTGATCCTCCATCCGCGTCCCCATCCGGGCCCCACGACGTGGCCACGACCCGGGCCTGCCAGGTGCCACTCCTTGGGTCGAAGCGTTCCGCCGAGTCCAAGACATGACGCACCTGGGCGCTGAAGAGCGGAGCGCGGCGCAGGATGGATGGATCACGACGTCGCCTCCTTCACCCGACGAAAAACCCGGGAGACCCCGAGGTCTGGGTGGCTGCTTTGGCAGAGTTTTTGGAAGTCGGAGGTGGTGACTCAGTGATAGGGTGATGGTAGCTCTTTAAGCCTTCCAGGCCTGAAGAGTTTTGGCGGCGACACGGGGCGCTGGGAAGGGGCGGAGACAAAGGCGACACAGTGATTCCTTTTTTTGGGAGGGAGGGTGGCCTGAAAGACTGAAACGGTTGTCTGCAGCAGGTTAATGATGCTCCTGAAAGTGACATCTTGAGGTATCAAATCAACTTCGAGATCGCAGAAAAAACACGGAACAAACTGTGAATCAAGCTAAAGTGGTTTGTTGATTGCAACATATTGCAACCATCAGCTAGTGAAATCAAAAGCGATCTAAGTCTCCTCAGGACCTCCGGTGGCTTTGGGGGTCCACTGGGCCCTTCTGAAGTACCTCTGCTAAAGATGGTTTCAAACCTCATCCAAGAAAACACCACTTGCGTAAGGGGCTCCACTGCCAGGATCAAACAGCGGCTCCGCACGCTCAATTGGCCTCCGGGTGGCTGGCCAAACCAAATGACTTCCGCCCATGGCATAGATGTAACCGCCACAGGTCACTGCAGCCAACTCATCACGACCCGTAGCCATCGAAGGTACCTCCTCTTCAGGATAGGCGGCCAGCAAACCAGCAGATCTCCGCATCGTTTTTCAACGAAATTCCGTTTCGATTGCCCATTGATGCCTACTGGGCCATGGCCGGAACATGGGAAACAACATATAACAGCAGAAAATCAATCGATGCAAAATACGATCAACATCTATGCTGCATGCTCAACATCACAGACCCATCAAAACCACCACTGCAACTCCCGCAAAATCCCACAGACTCACAGAGTCTTCTATATCGGGCTCCTCCCAGACAAGTTCCTGCAGATTCAGCCTGAGACAGGATCGTGCAAAAACCCGAATCATTGACACATCTGTTGGGCGGGTGGAGATGAAGTAGATCGCAAAGTCACAAAGTCTTCTACCGATGTCCAGTTCCACATTGGAAGCTTACTGCCTGTGGGACCTTGTGGGTACATTATCGATCCTTCCCTTGTACAGCAATCGCAATGGTTCACCCTCGTGGGAGATGTGGAAAGCCTTTCATTGACAACTATAGGTGAAGATGAGTTGGTCAAGTTGTTGATATGGGGAAAGTGCCACGGCCACGGCTTTCAAGAAAGAGCTCAATCTGAACAGGTGGCAAGCATAATAAAGAAAGTCTTGTGCTGCAGGCACTGCAATATTTTTTTGCAAGCATTGATTCGTGTTATTGTAGAGGCACGCTGCTTCCTAGGTCTTATGCATAGTGCCCAGACAATCCATGTAGTGAACACTTTATTGCATTTATATATATATATAAATAGGTAGTCTTGGTGGCACGATTGCAGAAGTGTTGCCCTTTTACATATATATATAACTATATATACTTTTTGAAGACGGCGTGCAAGCGTTAACGTCAGCTGGCTTTGCGGCGCGCAACCCAGTGTTTGAGGCGGCGCCCAGGGTGGAGCGCAGCCTGGTGCTTAGAGTGGTGCGTGCGCACCACTCTGCGCACCACTTCAAACACCCCTCTGAGCACCCCCGATTGTGCATGCAACCACTGTTCAGTCACCAAATTGTCATTATGAAAATCCCACGTCATTAAAAGTCACATGGGACCCCAATCCCACATCCATCGTGAATTCTCAATCTCTCCTTTTTCTTCAGTTCTGCAGTCTGGCCAGTACGGCTGGTTTGGCTAGCCCTCCTCGCAATCGCTCACATCCTCATCGTCATTTGAAGACTCATTTCCGGGCAAAGCCTTGAGAGGACGGCGTAGGAAGACGCAATGGCAGCGTAGGAAGACACATCTCCCCAAAGGGCCCGAAGCAGAGGACCGCGAACAACGTGGAGCCCACTACGGGCATTGACATAGCATTGCCTCCGAACAAGCAAATGAAATCCTACAGCGAACGTGGAGAGACGTGGCATAAACACCGGATACGGTACACAAACATCAACAACAGATCAGAGGTAGTTGAGGCCTTGCCTTCAATTTGTTTGCGCTGGTCCTTGGCGGGTTTCCTCATTTTTGGCCCGAATCCAAGATCCCAAAACAATCAAAGCATATCTGGAATCCACCAGTCCCACTCAGCGACACTCAGCGGTGCTGCATTTTCTCGGCGCGATTGAAAAACTAAGCCAGCCGTCCCACCTTCACTCGGTGGCAATGCACTGAAGAGCTACACATAGTCGTATTTAGAACATCCAGCGAAACGTATTGCAGCGACCACAGTGGAGAGAACTCTCGCCCCGTAGCGCAAGGAATCGCCGCTACCGTATAGCTCTCACCATCCAAAGTGAGGCCCATGGCCTTCACCAATGGTCAAAGATTTGCATCGTTGCGTTCCATTTTTCTTTGAAAATTTGGATAGGATTCAAAAACGTTCCTCTTCTCTCTTCTTTTCCGGCGAGGGAGAGATAGAGGATTATTTGAGTAGTAGGAGAGGTAGCAGGAGAGTTGGACGCTAGAAGGTAGCTAGCCAACTAGTCAGACAAACGTGCCAGAACAGGCTCAGAAAAGGGAATTGCAAAAAGAAAGGAGGCATTGCTCAATTTTGCTTTCATGTGTTTGATAGGCCCCTGGGAGCTTGGCCATCATCAGCGTACGAACGGTAAAGAAATCCAGACCACACTGCTTAGGGGGCAGCATCAGTTGAGTTCAAACGCATTCCTGTCTACAAGCCAGTACTGTTTGATCCAGATGCAACATACCTCACAGATCTGTACCACCTCTCAAAGACTCAGTTCATTGTAGCGTCCTTGAGCTCTGTACCATCTCACAAAAGTGCCGCTTTCTTGTCTTTCCGATGACCAATTTGTATGATGTAATGTCTTAGCACTTCATCCTCATCCCCAGACGAAGGCAAGTGGCTTGGCAATCGCTTGATCAGCAACTTGGCGAACCGTAGTCAGAGCGATTCAAGCAGAATCATGGGCTGCGGATTTATGAGATTGGTCTGGTTGAAAGTATGGAACGTCATGGACTGTGATTTGTTACTTATGGCGTTTTCGTTTTTCGCTGAGGACGGCTGGTTCTGTGAATCCTGCAACAGGGCGATGCTCTGAGCAAGGAGTACGTCACAGTCATGCGCGACAAATCACTGGAGTGATGGCCTGGACAAATGCTACGACGCTATGAATCATCGAAATCTTGCACATGGCTCAATTGTCTAAGCACTCAAACCCATACTTGCTTCGCTGGCAAAATCCTCTGTTCGACACAAGTCGATGGTCATTCAACTCACTCCGCCGTCTCAAAACTATCTGTTATAATGCACAGGAGAAGCATCGATGCCCCATCTTGGTCCCCCGTGCGCAGTTGAAGAAAATGAACGCAAGTTTCTCTATTTTTCCGGCTCTTCTATCTTTGTCGGCTGATAACTCTGTATGAAAAATGAGTCTACGTCATTTATGGTAGACAAATCTCGCCCGGGCAGCATTCCGTCACAAAACGGCAGCACTGCATAGTTCCTGCCAAAAGCAATGCGCGGGGCCTCACTTCAAGGTGCCTTCTCAGGGACTCGGCACATTCATAGTCCTGTCCTCACTCTTAGACGTTGCTGCTTCTGACTCGTCCTCATTCAACGTCTGCTCATGATCGGCTTTCGCCTTTTTCAAATTCTGTTGGCCACCTTCCACCACCAAATCCAGCACGCGCTTTCGCTGATCCTTGAGCTCTACCAGCTGCTGCATCCGCTTGGCAATGTCGGCATCGATGTTTTTGCAGGTAAAGCTTTTGCGTGGCAAGGTTCCGGCCATTCAACACATCGTTCTCTGTCTTGGCGGACACGCTCCTTAGGTGCACCGTTGCTTTGCAAACGATGGTTTCTGGCAGCGTCGCCTGATGCCCGATCCAGAAATCGACTGGGCTCATGGTGTTGTCGATGTAGGCAAGGGAGCTGCCTGGTCCATGGACACCTTTTTCAGCTGGCAAGAAAGCTGCTGGCCCTTGGAGAGGAAAAAGGACATCATGGCAGCGGATTCGACATCACAGAACAAAATGACCTCCTCATCGCTAGTCAGCAGCGTTTTCCTTGTCAGCATGCAGGTTCTTCTTGAGCACGTCCTTGACCATGTGCGACCTGGGCAAGATGAACTTAGTCTTTCATTGGGACGGCGTCTGAGAAATTTTAAAAGCCCCTGGACCCTTGGGACCATCCCAGCATCCCAAACTATCCGGAAGGTTTTGCTTTCCACATACCGAAATACTTGACTGCGCGCACTTGTTTCGCGCGTCGTTCAAAACTCCCCTGAGCATCGGCTATGGATTCTAATCCATAAGCTAAAAATGTTAATTTTGCAAAAAGTAAATCAATTATTTTTATTGATTTGGAAGGCTACATTTTCAATAGAGAAACCACATTGAAAACCAATAAATTTTGTATGCTTTTCTATCTATAAAAGCAAAAACAAAATCAATTACAGAATCAAAAGGGATTCATGTCTTTTCACGCAATCTCTTCAAGATATTTCGAGTGAAACTTATCTTGGTCTTTTGCCAAGGTGTTTCCAATTCAATCTGTTGTCAAAGTGTTCACACCCTCAACCAAGTACAAGACTGAATAACACGTTAAAAAACAACTTGAGTCCAACTTGAGTCTAATTGGATTATAATTTAGTTTTACTTTCAATCTGTAAGTTGATTTTAATTCAATGCTAATTGACCTTCAACTCAATTCTAATGTAGTTGTACTGTAAATGTCATTGTATGTTAATTTCCATTGAATGTTAATTCTAAATCAAATTTGGTTTAATTTTAACCAAGCTGTGGGCTAAGCAATTCTAACTCAATTCTACTTTAATTCTAATTTCACGGCAAAAAGTTTGATTCAACTTAGTTAAAACCGATTCAAGCCAAATTTGGGTATAGTCTATTTTTAACCTATCCCGAAGTTAGTTCTAATTCAATTCTTTGTCAATTCAAATCACCCACAAATTTTGTCCACAGTTTTGGTCATTAGATTTTGCTTCCTCAACTCTCCTCACCAAAGTTTTTGTCCACATTTTTAATCATTAGATATTATTGCCTTACTTTCCTTCACCCCAAAAAGTTTTGGCAACAGTTTTAGTCATTAGATTTTGTTTCCTCAACTCTCCTCACCAAAAAAATGTGTCCACAGTTTTAGTCATTAGATTTTGCTTCCTTACTTTCCTTCACCCCCAAAAATGATGTTCCTTTTCCGTTTCCTCTTCCTTCTCCTTTTCTTTTTGCCTTCCTTTTCCTCTTCCTTTTCCTTTTCCTTTTTTCCTCTTCCTCTTCCTTTTCCTCTTCCTTTTTTTTGCCTTTTCCTGTTGTCTTCCTCTTCCTTTTTCTTTTCCTGTTTCCTTTTCCTTTTGTCCTTTTCCTTTTCCTGCGCCTTTTCCTTTTTGTGTTTCTTCTCTCTTCCTTTTCCTTTTGTGACATCCCCTTTTTGTCAAAAGGGATGTTTGCACATAGCTCTAGCCCACTTGAGCCAAAAAAGCAAAAATCAATATATTGTGATGTTTTACTTTGTTGCGGTTATTGAAGATCAATATTTCAAATTCAATATCAGTTCAACAACTTCCAATGTTATTGATTAGAATCAATAGCCGGCGCTCATGGATTTTTATGCTTTTCAATGTATTTGTAATTAATGTTCAGTTTAATGCAAATTTGAACATGAACACTATGCATGTAAAAGCAGCACGCACTCTATGGTTTCCACAAAAAGCTAAAATTAGATTTAGATTGAACAATGATAGATTAGAATTAGATTTGCATTGGCCACAAATTGAAATGGATATTATATAGGGAGTTTCATCAAAATCAAAGTAGCAGTAAATGATAGTTGAAATAGAGTTAAAGTTTAATCAAAATAGTTCTTCCATTAGAATTGAATTAGAACTAGGTCGTTTAGGATTTGCAACCCTTTTTCTGGTTCTGATGTGCTGACTGAACTGCGCCCAATAAGAGCAACACATTTCAGAACATGATTCTGACAGCAAAACCTTGCAAATTTGCAACTTCACAATCCGTCATGTCATCAGCGAATAAAGCAACGCAGCAACACCAGAAAACAGAAGTTACAAAAATACGAAAATGCACTCCCACAGTGTCCTGCTCTCCTTCTCTTAGTATCCGTCTCAAGGGGTTCCCCCCCCTTGTCAAGGGTTGGAAACTACATATGAGCGAGTAGATGGCTGCAAAAAAAAGCAATAAAGGAATCAATAGGAGATCAATTACAAAAATCAATACAAATTCCAAATAGTGCTCATCAACAATCTATTGGTAATATCAATAAGTTTGGCTATTGAAATTTTCAATAAAATTTCAATAGCTTCTTATTGATTAGAATCAATAGCTGATGCTCAGGGTCAAAAGCTCCCCTCAAGTGTGGGCATCGCCAGAAAATGTAGGTTACTCTGCAGGTCTGGTCCCCCATGGTTCACGCAAACTATGTCATACACATGCGCCATGCGTTGTGCTGCTGTCTCTGTTTTTGGGTGTCTTGGTACATGCCATACAAAATCAAAGGAAAATTCGTTGCAAAACTTCCCGAGAATACCAAGGATATAAAATCACAAGGCTTCACCCCCAGTGCTGAAGCATTGCAGCTCATTTCATCGAGAAGGGAGCCGCTGAACTCTCGCGCCAGCTGACTCACCTTTGTTTTCTTCTAAACCTCCCTGCGAACATGTCCGAGAAGGCAGCATCATCAATACGGTCTGTGGCTCCAGACCCAACAGTTGGCGACTCAGCAACGGCGATCTCTGCTGCGTAACCATCAGATTTCTCAGCCTTCGAGCAAAGGGTCTTTGCAATGCTCGCACCTGATGTCTCTTTTTACACTTCTCAACGGCTGGACCTTCGTGACCTAGCCTTAGCGACAGAATGACCCCTGGCAACATGAACGCAGTATCAGTGCCAAGTCTGTTTTTTGAACACTATTCGCGACGATGATTCATCATCATGATCCGGATGATGATGATGATGATGATGTGGATGAAGACGATGAAGACGATGATGACAAGGATGGGGATGACGAAGACGACAATGACGTTGATGATGCTTACGATGACGATGATGCATTTCGACGGTTACGATGACAACGACGACGCTGGCGATGATGGTGACGGCGATGACGATGATGACTAATGTGAGAACGCATTAGACGAAGGTGATGACGATGATGGCGGTGACGGTGACGGTGGCAAAGACGATGACGTTGATGATGATTATGACTATATGATGATGATTGCGGTGATGATCCTAATGATGATGATGACGATGGTGATGTCGATGAACACGATGATGACAATGAGGGTTGCGATGACGATGACGACGTTGATGATGATGACGACGATGATGAGGATGAAGATGAAGAGGATGATGACAACGATGGTGGTGATAATGATGTTGTAGGCCTTTGGAAGCCTGTCTAGAAATCCATTGAAAGTGCCATCAGCAGCGACTGAGTAACGCAAATCTTGTCGGACATGTGCTCAAACAAGGCCCAGTTGAAATCTTGCAACCCAACGATGCATCCTTAAAGGCGGCTTCCAAACCCATTGCCCTGCCTTCCTTTTTGTTTCTACCGCACCATCCTTCCTGAACCCGTGGCTGGGGAAACGGCGTGGGAGCCTCCCATGCTAGAGCTTTCAGTCACCATGTCTCTTGCTCGCTTAATTGAATTCCACTCACATCTTCTTGCCCCAAACAAAAATTTGAGCAGGAAGATCTGGGGCGCTGGCTCCCAACTTTGCAGTGAGCACAATCTTCAAGAATCCCAGCTTGTCATGACCAGGCCCAGTCCTATTGCAATTCCAAGACTTCAAGAACAATCAAACGTTCCTGGACAGCAGCTAGATTCTAGATCAGCTCAGAATACAATCAACACGAATGCTTAGTACAGTGCACGTCGCTCCTGTTGCACAACGACATGATGCATGCTGCGCGGATAAAGCTGGCCTCACATGGGCAGACAGTTCAAAGCGGCCATAACGTAAGTCGGGAGTGCAAAATTCAAGCTAGCTTCACGGGAGATCAACTGGAGATCTGAGTACAGACAGGTGTGGAAGCCCTCGCCAGAAAGGTGGGAACGGTAAAGCGCAAAAGTTCAAGCTGCTTAGTGAACAGACAGTACAACAAACGCTTTAAACAAAACGTACGTTGCTGTAGGCGTGAAAGCGTTAACGCAACGGTTTCCGTTGATGTTCAGGTTTGAAGGGATGGTTTTCTTGGAAGCACACATACATATCACATGGAAAACACATAGTTTTTCAGGGTGACGCGTTGTCAAGATGGTTTAAGAAACACTATTGAACTGTGGTTCGATTCTGATCGCGCACGCGAAAGCAAGACGCCCAAAAAATACTTCAACCTCCAATTTGAACACACCTCCGAAAGCCAGAACTGAAGGCGCGCAGAAAAGAACAAACGTATACATATTATATTTATGATGATTTGGCGCGAAACTCCTAACACAGCACATGTGTCAGATATGAATAAAAGATGTCCAGGAAGCGCATGTGGCAGGCACCTGAATAAGCAGTTGTGTAAAGCATACCCCACTGGCTGTTCCAGGCACAAAATTTGGTTTTTGAATTTGCAAAAGCGTTTTCACCGCCACGGAATCTGCTTTCAGGTGCGATTCCATCCTCATCGCGCAGACAAAAGCAAGGCCACCTCCTTAAAGCACCTCAAAAGCAAGGCCAGTCCCATAAAAACCTTGAAAAAACACATCAAATTGCACAACGTTTGAAAGATGAATCTGACCACCACCCTGCGCACCCCTTCGAGCACAACTTGTTGAGGGTCAATCTGACCTCCCCCCTCCCCACCCCCCCGCACACCACCCTGAACACCACAATTTCAAGGCTTCACACTTCGCAATGTTAACGCTTACACGCCTACATCAATATATATATATATATATAAATACAAAATTATAACTATAGTTATATAATATGCTATAATCAATAGTTTTGCCCAAATCACAGTGTAAATGCTTTCTTTCCGACCCTTTTCAACCAAATTCTGTTCAGTCCTCAATCTCATCTGTAGAGTTTGAAGAACAAATTACAAGAAAATTGTCCCAAACCAATCAAACTGTCGAGTTGTACAATGGTCTCGACCATTTTCAGACCAATCCCCCGACCTGAAATCGACCAACCTCAGACCGTTCTCCAGACAGTTGACTGCATCAACCATCCATCATCGACCTTCCCCTACAAGTCCAAATGCCAAGTCAAACCTGGATCCTTGACCTCATTAAGTACTGGATTTTCCATGACTTCCCGGCTCCAGTCTTTCATGAGCTCCGTTCCTCACCGCCCGCGCGGCCCGGCCCCTCCACCGGATCCGGAGCCGTCGCCTCTCCACCGATCGGAGGTCTTCTCCATCGATACCTGGGACCCGATCGATCGTGCGGACCGAATGGGAATGGAGGAGGGTTCGACAAACCCATGGCATGGCGCCATGGGACCATGCAAGAAGACCCACGGACTCCGACATGTGACATGCTTGGTTGCAAGCGGAGGAGAAATCATGAACAGAAGCAACGTATTTGGGTTTGCTTGAGGAACCTGGAAAAAGTAAAGGCTCTTCACCAGAAGGGGATCAATTACAAACCTATAATGTGGGAAAATCACCTTAAGCAAAACGGGTCAGTTGGGAAAAAAAAACATCGGACTGGGATGCGCGTGTTAGGTGGTGACATCAGTGCGCCCGTGCCTGCGACGCGAGCACCACCGTCAAGGGTACCCCAGAAGAACGATCAAAAACTTCCGCTAAAAACCTCGACCTCACCGACCGTGAAATGATTATCCGACCGTGGTGAGTTGTTTGGAACCATTGCAATGCAGTGCAGCACGTTTAAATCCAAGAGGTCTGAACAACAGGTTAATTACATGTGGCTGGGCCGTGGGAGAGTGAAAGTCGTTGAGAGGAACCAATTCAAAGGAGATGCAATCCAAGCGCAAGTCAAAGGCAAAGCTGCCATGAACTTTGACTTTCACCGCTTTGTCCCCATCAATCTGTATCACTGTTTTTTAATTGCCACGTTTTTGGTGTGGTGGCTACTTTCCTGTGTTTTAGTGGAGTTTGAGATGGTTACTTTCCTACTGGTTTTGGGTGTGGTGGCCACTTTCTTGCCAAGTTTTTTGTGGTGGCAGGTTTCTTTTTCAGCGGTGGCGACTTTCCTGCCTGGCTTTTGGTGTGGTGGCTACTTTCCTGCCTGTTTTTTTGTGTGGTGGCAGGGTTTTTCAATGTGGTGGCTGCTTTCCTGCCAAGTGTTTGGTGTGGCGGCCAGCGGTGACGAGGAATCAACAGAACTTGCCGCGGACCACTGGGTGCATAATTATTCTGGGGTACCCTGACAACTCAACAGTTTTGGGGGACCTACTGGAATCATATTTGGGCCCCTTGTTTCCATGCCCACCCGCACAAAACCACCAAAACCAAGCAGGGACCAACACCCAAGCAGGAACCTAGCCACTTCACCTAAGCTCAGGTTATACGTACTTTCCTTCTATGTTTTTGAGTGTGGTAGCCTGGTTGTGAACTTTCCTGCCTGGTTGATTGTGTCGTGGCTAGTTTACTGCCTGGTTTTTGGTGTGGTGGTTGCTTTCCTGCCTTGTTTTTGGTTGGTGTGGTTGCTACTTTCCTGCATGGTTTTGGTGTGGTGGCTACTTTTCTGCCTGGTTTTGGTGTGGTGGCTACTTTTCTGCGTTTTTTCAATGTGGCGACTACTTTCCTGCAAAGTTTTTTGTGTGGTGGCCACTTTCCTGCAAAGTTTGTGGTGTGGCGGCTAATTTCTGCCTGGTTTTTGTGTGGTAGCTACTTTTCTGCCTGGTCGTTCAGTGTGGTGTCTTGCGTTCTGCCTGTTGTTGAATCGCCATGACTCGCCCCTGTCTAAAGTAGCAGGGTGACGACGTATACCACCAGAGACAAGCACGATCTTCATGAGGGTACGGCGGTACACCCTTAAAAATTAGTCCTAAAAACATATTCGTAAAAACACATATTCCGTGAACTCACGGGTGTACCTGGAATAATTAAATAAGGCACCGCGTATGTGACATCAGTGGTTCAGTTCCGAACCAAGTGCAGAGAGGAATCCAAGACACAAGACATCGACCCAGCCTTTTCAGGTCAGATTCCGTTTCGGCTGGCGAAATGGTGCGGTTGCTGAAGTATCTGTGAAGAATTAACAGTTCGATTCTGAAAGACTCCGGACTCCTCAGCCCGAGTCCACGCCGACGATAAGGCACCACGCCGAAAAGCTCTTGGAGCCGAGGTGCCACAGCCACCCACCGCGTAGACATAGCCTCCCAGGGCCACGGCTGCACAGCCACTCCTGGAAAAACGTGGGCATGCAAGCTGCGGAGCGTGGGCCGAAAAGGAAAAGCCGCACCACCCAAAAGGGTGGTTTAAGTAAATATAAGTTAGATTCTGAGGTTTATAGCCTGGAAGTGCAAAATGACTCTTTTGACTGAACAACTGGTGGATCATAACTACCAGTTTTTTCCAGGAGTCAAAACGGAAGCTCTGGATAGACCACATCTACCAGCTTCCGGTCACCAACAAACTGCCGTTACACACATATAGGTCTCGATTGGACACCGAACAAAAGCGCCAGGTACTAGGTTCACCATGGTGTACGATCCAATATAGTTGGCCTTTGCTTTGGGTGGTTCTGGATCAAGCTAATGAAATCCCTATCCTTCCCCAATCAAGAAGGAGCTCCCTCCAAAACAAAGACAAAAACTGCTGTAGGTCCGTTTAGGGTCACCAACGAACCCATTACTCCAGAGGAAAATAAACCGAGAATCCAGTGGGCACCACGAATAAACGGTCCGTAGTCGGAGTGCTTCTCCTTGTAATCATAGCACCCGTGCCAAAGTGCCATGAGGTGTCTTTTGCAACTTGAGCAGTTTCTGGTACCCTGGAAAAATCTGCAGGGCAATGTAGAATCTTGATTCATACCCTCCGCCATGTGAAGAGGTTTTTGCAATCACAATGGGTGGGCTTTGTTCATCAAGATGCACATTAATTATTGCTTTAAGGATCTTTAGGGTAGATCTGCACCCTCCCAATTCCGTCCCAACCGCTTTCACGCTGTGCTTTTGATTGCTTTAGCTCTTTGTCCCACCGCCTTTTTCCGCCGCCTTTTTCCGGTCGGTCCTGGGCGTTCGCAAGGGCTCCAGCGTCTCCCAGGAGTTCTGGGACAAATTGAAGCGCTCTACCTGGTGCGTGAATAGCGGGAAGGTCGGGCATTTGGGGCAGGTGGTTTTTTTTGGCTCAGCTGGAGGACGCAAGACATAGCACTCGTTTTGACTCGTGAAGCACACTTGAACTATGTTGAACTGCCCACTGGTGAGTACAGAGGTCCTAGGTCCCTAAAATGCCTTGAAAGCGACCAGTATCACTTCAAATGAGAAGGTTTTGAAGATTATATGTCCAGGTCATGCGAGCCAATATATATATATATATATATATGTATGTTTGTGGTGTGTGTGTGTGTGTGTGCTTTTTGCCGGTCCCTTTCTTTCAAACAAGTAAGAGTAGTCATGAGTAGTTGACAAATTGTGGAACAGCCTGCTGTGTTTACTTGGATTCGCAGTGTCAGGTCTCAAACAAAGGAAGCTTGTCAAGTGATGCTATCTCGGAACATGCAGCAGGTGCTCTGCGCCGCAGGGACTTTCAAAACCTTGAAGAAACCACTGCATTGCATGATAAAACCGTTTCTTTTGATATATTTTGAGCGAGATACATTGCCACTTATCACTATTGATCAATAGCAAAACACATAAAAACAAAAGGGCAAGCTTCCGGTCTGGATCCCCCGTCCTCCGCATTCACTAGGGCCCTGACAGAGCTGAGTGCATCGCCACAGGCCTGGCGAAGTGATGGCTTGGAGCGGCTTGGAGCGAATCGGCGTGCGTTTGGAACATGCAGATTCCGACTGTTTTGAAAGTAAAAGGATCACGTCCATCCGTTTCAAGCAACTCACAACAGAATCAAACGCTTGCAATTATGAATTGCATCTAAAGTGCTGGGAGCGCGCATTCCATCACTACCATGGGCATCCATCCTCTTTTTGGTCTGCCAAGCATGTCTCAAAATGTATCATACATTATTCTAATGCATTCCCGTCCTCACTTGCTTGACATGCTCCCCCTCTTCGATCTATCATTGGAAGTCCACAATATATTGCATATAAACTATTAATATTGCACATTACATATTAAGTTGCCCATTACTATTGAGAATAACTTAATGCTCCAACAATGACCATGCCCACTACTAAGTTAAGCCAACTATACCAATACTGTTGGCGTACTGTTGGTAAGACTCCTACTTGCTTGGCATGATTCCCTTCCGCATCTCGCCCTCCATCTCGCCCCCCCTCCGCCTCCCCGCCGATCGCGAAGAGTTGGAACGGGAACAGGTTGGCCTCGGGTACCGTTGCGACTCGGTCATGTTCACCGTTGGAGAGGTGAAAACCCCCCAAACACGAGCGGGACTGGTAGACCTGGAGACTGAAACCGTGCACCAATGGGACTGGTAGACCTCAAAGGAGGTTCCTCTGGGTTTTCATTGATCCCTTTTCAACCACCAGAATGTAGAGCAGTCTCATGGAGAGTCTGGCAACTGTGGAAATGATCGTTCTGGGGTGAAAAAAGAGGGTGTCCTTTGCTGTGTTGACAATGCAAACAACATGTTTACATTTGGGGGGCGAAACAAACATTCCGCTTGAATTGACGAATTACCAGGCGTGCATGCAAACGGACCACTGAACAAAGACATGGTGAAAACAATGTGAAACATGGTGAGACAGCCATGTGAAACACACGGCGGGTGTGGATCTGAACCCGGAGCATTGAGCCACACAAAAAGAAGGACGTTGTTCTTGGGGAGCAGGGCATCCAGGTGTTCTTTGGAGACTCATCTGATCTTGAAGAAAGGGTTTACAGTTTTTAGATGTTTGTGGGGCCCATTGCTTTCGCAGGCTGACAAGAATGGCCACCTGCTGTCCGTATATGGAAGCGTCACTGTGCTTACTATTCTGTGCCACTGCCCTTCACGGGGCAGGACATAGTTCAAGTGCTGTTCTTGAACTGGCTTTCTTGTTACTAGCAGCGATGGCCTCCAACCTAATAGCGATGGCCTCCACCTAGTAGCTTCTAGTTACTAAGAAGCTTCAAAGACATAGTAAGCTTTATTGTTACTGCGGGTGAAATGATTCCCAGTGAAACGATTCCCAAGGAAGCTTCTAGTCGCGTCGCTAGAAAGCTCTATTGTTGATGTGGATGCAGAACACGTTGGCAGGCCGAAATTATTTGAATGTATCAAGTTTCAATCAACATGGTTGTGAGAGGGCTTGTTTGTCAAGCATAATGTTGATCTTTTCACACCTTCAGAGACTCAAATTGCATATTTTAACATGTAAAACCTTCAATTTTTGTTTGTTTGTTCAAAGCTCACCAAACAATTTGAAGATTGACCCAAGCCGCCAGGGACAAAAAAAGCGTCCTTGAGTTACACCTGTTCTCACCAGCACAAAGAGTCACCCAAATCAAAACTTGTATCATGGTTTATAAGGCGACTGGACAGTGTCGGACAGTTCGAACATATACCTACATTGGGGTGGTTGAAAAGGGGTCAATGTAGTTGAATATACCAGTTTCGGATGGACAACTCACCCTTTTCCCAACACCTCAAATAGCTTCCCTTTTCGATCCATGCCCAGTTGCGAGTTCGGGGCCCAGCGAGGACAAGGAGCTTCGAAGCCCGCGAGACGCACCACCTGGGCTGCAGCAATCAAATGTCCACACATGGCGCAGCTGGTAGGCAAATCGCAGAGGAAGTTCTAACTTTGGACCATTTGAGTCAGGCGGCCCTCCCAATTCCAAAGAAACTCTGGGATGATTTAAAGAACACTAGGTTACTTCAAAAAGGTTACGAACGTGGCCTGGAGATTTGGTCACTCACTTCGGTTTGGTCACGAGGTGTTGAGGCCTAACCTCGGCCCCCCCCAAAACCGAAGAAACCTCGGACCCAAAGAGGGCCAAGAAACATCAGGCAGAACCCCTCGAGTTTTCTCGCCTCGCCTGATAGCGGTTTGGTGTACGGAAGGTGCATGTCTCACATCTTCACTGGTGTTCGGGATCACGTTGGTGTTGATGGTGCCTACGAATGGGTCTGCCGTTTTCAATGTATATGTCTTCTTCCTCCTCTCAATTCATCGAACGTCGGGTAGTTCGTTGGCAGGGCAGTTCTCATCTCTTCATCGGTCCGCTTCGTTGGCAGGGCAGTTCTCATCTCTTCATCGGTCCGCTGCACGAAAGAACAAAAAACCGTTCGAACGGCGGGTCGCAAGACACCTCGTTCGCCTCGTTGAAAGGGAGCACTCAAGTGGTTTCTCCCTCAACCCCAGTAAAAGTAGACGAATCATTCTGAAACATGGTGAAACCACCACCCACCCCCCACCACCCAGAACCCCACTGCCCGGCGGTAGAACCCTCTCAAGAGCGGCCCAAGCGGCTCAAGGTGGTGCAAACCTCCAAGCCCAAACGAACCGCCAAGTCGAGGGCCAACTCCTCGAGTGGGTGAGCGACCAAGTTGTCGCTGAAAAGTGTGGGTGAGCTGCACTTTGAAGTGTTTGGAAACTCTTAAGCTGGAGCACTTTTGGAATCTTCTTATGTTGAGGATGAGCTACTTGGAAAAACAGCGCAAGCAATAACGGATTGGTGAAAAAAATTGTGAAAAGCGACCTAGGCCTGCAAACTTTGGAACGGTCTTCAAACAGTATGTTGAATTGGAATAGCCCTCAAAACCCTTTCTGCATTGGGTGCGGATTCAAACGGCTATAGCTGAACTATGTCATCTCGCAGCTCCAGGTGGCGCGACACCAGGTGGCCTGGTGTTGGCCTCGCTGGAGTTCCCCACCGATTTCCGTGAGCAAACATGCAGCACGCTGCATGCGAGGGTGTTCACCAATTCTATGGTTTGGATCGAGTTGTTTCCCGGTGGTTTCAGAATGGAAAAGAGCTTCCTGCAAAGAAGGAAACAACGTGACTCTCCGCGAGACTCGGTCGCGAGAGATTTTGTGAGCTCTTGCCACGCAAGATACCAGAGTCTTCAACCAAAAAGTATCAGGATTTGAGTGCAAATTCGTGGAGATCTCGCTAACAGTCGTGGTATGTCGTGGTCAAATGAGTACAAACCTTGAGTTGGCACTCACCAAACGTCAAATCGGTGGTCCCTTGCACCCTGAAACATGCCACCTTCGCCTGCATCAAGGATTCCAAAGTTTCATGGCACCTGAGTCTGCAAGACAAAACTCGGCATGCACCAACTGGATGGAAAGCGGCCAACACTATACCGTACTTTCTAAGATCACACCTGACATTCTGGGAAGTCAAATTCGAGCAGCAGGCTTCTTGTGGTAGTTTCGGCTGGCTTACAAGTTTACACTTGGCGCCGGCAAGTTAGCTGGAAACACAGCCAATGTGGACTGTTGATTGGAAAAACCTTCCAAATTATGGAGATGTAAACCATTCTGGTGTGAGGAGATGTATCTAAACCATAGAAGTATGTTTAACTGCTCTGTCACTCCATCTTCTACGTTTCAAACCAGGATCAACTTCAAGGGGCCTTCTGTGACACCAAGAAGGGGCTCCAAAGCTGGCGGGACGCATATGGACGGATGCCCTCGTGAAAAAAGCAGCGCCGTAGCGTGTCTAAGCCTCCACACAAAAATAGGAGAATTCGTGGGAAACAACAGAACTGATCTTTTACTCAGCTTGATCGTGCTAGATCTCAGTGCGTTTCATCACTAAGGTGCATTCCCCCGAAGCAAACTATACACCGCCCCATCTAGTTAAAACAATCATGCCAAATCCCACCACCCTCCAATTGCAGTCGAAAGAACCTCCCTTGAACCCAGCCCACCCTTCAATTCCCCTTGAACCCACTGCGGGGTACGGTCCCCCCCACCTTCCGGTACGGTCCCCGGGTCTCCCGGACGCCACCGGGTGCCTCCTCCGAGCCTCTGCGAAGCGCCGTCGGTGCATCCAGGCCAAAAGCCTGGCGCCGGTGCGGAGGGTCGACGAGGCGGAGGCGAGCATGCGCGAGTTTTAGAGATCTTTGAGGGGAGCTGAACAATGAAGACATGTCCGATGGTATTAGTGAACAAAGATATTGCAAGAATGATCGATGAACCGATTTAGTGTTTCTGAGTTTTTGTGGTTCAGGATGTTGAACCCTACCAGGGTCGCCGGTAGGGTAGGGTAGACAAAGGTATGTTTCATCCGAGTGTTTCACATCCACAGTGAAGCTGGGCTACGCGGACCGAAGCTGGGGATGGTCCGATTTAATGAAACACCTGGGATCTGGACGTCGTTCGTACCTCCGAATATGGGGACATGGTCCTATAGAACCGCTGACTCCCGAGCCGGAGATGCCTGGAAAATAAAGGTTACGTACTATATAGTGGGGAAACCAATCCCTAAAAACGTCTTAATTATATAACACGTATTCACACGTTATATCTATACTTTTCCTGGGGTGGGAGAGGCATGGTTTTCGGCTACCGATTTCCAAGGTACGAACAAACCGATTCGACCGCACGTTCGTTCGGAGAGTGTGAGTACACGACGAACACATCAAAGTGGTTACGTGGAACATGAATGAACATGCTTCCTTGGAAGACGAGTTGTCCTTTTCAATCAGAGGTTTTCCGCTTCCATGTTAGGGAGCAAAGCAGGAGTGTAATTAGATGTAATATTCGTATATAAAAGTAGTGCAAGTGCCAGTATAATACTATACATCTTGTGTCTGTTGCCCTCAAGCACATTTAAACAACCAGGGGCATGCAAGAGATACCCCAATTCCCTGGTCTCTCGATACCCGACGATTCCCTGGCTGAATCGAAACAGCTTCATGCAGCTTCGTTTTCGGGCTGAAGACGAGCTAATTAGCCAATTGAACACACCCGTGCAGACTCACATAGAACCTGAAAACGCCCTGGTCTGGTTGAGGACAACGACCCGCTCGCCTCTCTGCTGGGACGGCACCGTGAAACGCCAAACAGTCGCAAAGGGCCTGAATACGCTGCGCCGTTGGTCACGGTTTGGTTCGGAGAGACGGGGGGGTTCAGCCTTGTTGGCAGGTTCGCCAGGCTCGGTCACCAGTGGTTCCATTTCGACTCAAACTGTAGACCGAAGAAAACCCTGGTTCCTTATAGTGACAGTGGTCACTGGGATCCGCCGGGCAAGACAATGACACCATCTAATTGCTGCACCTTGCAGTTGCAGAAAGCTGCATCGTAGCAAGACTCGACCTGCATTCTACGACCACTGGAAACACCGGCACTATGGAGCGGTATGGAGCTTGTCCCCATATTGCGGAAGATCCATGGCTCTATTGCAGGGGTATCATCTGATTGATTTCTGGTTGCTTTGAGCGGATTATATGGGCGACCTATCGACTGAACACAATTTATTCCCAGACCATGGGACTGGAATAGTTACATTTCATTTCATTTACCCATTTATGACCCTCATGTAAGTAACTTTTCCAGTCCCGTGATGACCTGGGCCGAGGATGGGTACTCCGTCCACCGCGTAAAAACGAGCACCAGACTTTAGCAGAACGCGGCCAGTCTTGGTCAATGAGAGGGAATGAATTCTGCAGCAAAAACGACAATTATCTACATGTCTCATTGCTTTGGAGCCTTTCATAGCCTTTCTATGTAACAAAGTACCGAAGTCAGTGGTGTTTCACTGACGACTCTTAGATGTCATCATGGTGGCTATGGAGTTGTTGTTTATTGATGGTGTGCATTGGAACTGAGCAATTGGAACTGCGTGAGAGTGTGGCCATCCCTGAGTTCCTCCAAACCTCATCCGCTGAAAAACGCGTGGCCTCATGTTCTTCTCGAAGCATGCTCAGTCTCTTGGTCAAAAGACTCAGCTGTCCTTGCCTCGGCCATTGAGCCCGTACGGCCGTTGCAGGCTTTCTCTGGGCACGAAAAACAACAAAAAACAACACATTAATAATGTGAACAAGGAATATTAAAAGCTGTTTGTTTTATTTCTCTAAGTGTTAGTTTCGACAAGATCTAAATCTTGCCCTCAGAGCTACAGTAAGTTTCGCCTGTTCTGGGGCCGCAGTGCGATCAAGCTGCTTGGATTCTTTAGGACAGTAGTTTTGATGGCCAGACGACGAATGGGACTGGAATAAGTGAATCAAATGGATGGGTCATGTTCATGTGGTTTTCATGTATGTATTACCAGTAACAGTAATAGGACAAACCAATGTTTTTGTATATATATATATATTTTGTATAACTATTCCAGTCCCATGGATGGCCATCGGGGGTTGTTCAATTGACTGTCGTGAACGCGCGTCCAAACAGTGGTGACTACCAAACCCAGCCTTCACTTCACTCTCTATAACAGTCTAACATCTTCCAGCCAGTTAACCCGGAACACTTCCAAAAAAGCCATGTCCACTAGTAGATATGGTAATTAATAAAGTTAGACCTCAACAATTTTAAGATATGCAGCATATGCAGAATATACGATTGCACACAATCTCTGGGGCGGATGCCTTATTTGGCCAAATCTTCTGCCTCAAGGAAGCCAGTCTTCATGCCTCTTCTGCGAAGGGACCAGAAAAAAACTCATTGGTTCTGCCAAGAACTATTCCATCCAGTGCAAGTGTCATAAGGCTCGGCTCCCAAGAAGACTGGTATACCCAAACACGATGGGACATGGGACTGGTCTGTATGCCTATGTCATGTCCCTTTTCAACCACCCCTGGCCTTTGACTGCAGCCCGGACGGAGTAGTGGTGTTCCGCATGTCACGTCTCTCAACCCGCGGACAGTCACGACGCAAACCCGGCGTCGTTGTGTCTGCCCAGTCACGTGGTCTGCAAAGCTTGTAGGACCTATACATCGATCGTTCGACCGGACGCAGTCCGCTGACCCGGGCGTAGCGTCGCGTCCGTCGAAGGGTTAGCGGGCCGCACACAGCTCTTTGAGCTGTTTCGCTTCGGTACGACGGTACGACGCGACGTCGTCTCAGTGTAGACAGAAGCCCATACCTCAAAGGGTGCCTGTGGATCCCTAGGGCTTGGGAAGTTCTCTTGCGCTTGGTGAAGCCCGTGTCTGTGATGTAAGGGAGCGTCGGTGGAGGAGCGTCGTGTTTTTTGGGGGGGAGACTTGAGTTGGACCATGGGCGGCATCGACAAGTTCCCCAACTGTTGTCGTTCATCGACTCCAACCAGTGACATGCTTGACAGCATTCAGTTGGCCCAACGTCAGAAACCTTCATCTGGAGAAAACGCTTCGTCACAAACTCAGGTTGCCCAAACGCCCGTTGTTTCTCCCGACCGAAGCTCGTTCTTTTCCGATTGTTGTCCATCGACGTCCATCGTCAAAGACTCCAGCTCTGAAGTAGAAGTGAACATATCACCAGATGAGTCACATGAGGAAAACAGAAAACATGTTGCTGAGGACCTTTTTTGTTGCTTCTCTTTTGCAACGGGGTGTCGCGCCAGGTGTCTAGCTCTTGAGAGATCCAACTCTACGCGACTGTTCTCCCCACCTGCGACAAGGGTTCAGCCTTCCATGTGGATGGCCCATAGCTACCTGGAGTCAGGGATGATAATGACTTGCAGTGAACCTCAAACAGACTAGAGATTCAAGAAGATTCAAGAAGTCCTCTCAACAACTATCCTGAGCATGGGGTGCCGTGAAGCTTGGAAGCTTCAAAGTTCACCAGGACCAAAGTGAAAAAGCCACATGAATGAGTGGAACTGAGAGGTCAGACCTCTTGCTGTGCCACCAGCAACCTGCTACCATTCGCCTGCTGCTACCATGAAGACCTGCTACCTGCTAGGTCGACTGACCCAGTCGACCCAGTCGATGCGACCAGTCCGCCATAGGCGGGCAACACCGAACCTAGAACCCAAACAGTCTGGGACCCCTGTTTTGATGGCTTTTCCTGGGTGGATTCAACTCACTTGCAAGATCTTCGTGGGTTCAATCATCATCCCAAGCAAAGGGTTGAACATCAACATACACTCCTTGGAACTCACATGAGAATGGTTTGTTGGAGGATCATGAAATCCACTACAAACAGGTGGTTTTCCACGTGGACCATGTTAGTTCCAGGGAGTGGTATCTGAAACCACCCAGATAAGAGCATATCTGCATACAGTATGTTGTTGGGCGCTTGGTACAGAACGACCGCGTCCGCTTCCGTCGTTCACCCGGTGGATGATCAGGACGGCCAGCACAGTGCACAGGCACTGCGCAACCGGTCAGCGGCCGCGTGGAGACTTGGACAAAAGCGTTCTTCGGACTTGGACGGCCGCTGTCAGGAACCGCAAACCCAAGGTCGCACCTCAGAATTCATCGGGAAAATGAAAAACCGGCCCCAAGGTCCCATGGTTCCTCCTTCCGAAAGCAAGCCCAAACAGATCGACGCACCGGTTTGGGGTAGACCGCCTGAAAGGGAGGCCCAGGGCTGCATTGGAGGCGCGGAGGAGATGCCACACACAAGTGGCTAGCAAGGTTCAGTAGGACGAGTCTTTTTCAGATGGTTGACTTGCAAATGAAGGATTCTGATTGGTTCCTTGTCTTAAGAGGAAAATGAAGACCCCCGGCTCATGGTCGCGGTAGTTGAGGGTCACTCAATTAAAACTATTTATATATTCATTTAAGTTTGATGAACACAACATCCTAGCATTTGATTTTCGATGGCGTTCTACTTGGGCTCTTCATTTCATATTGTGTGTTTTGCTTCTTGCAATATGTTATTGTTCAAGGTACACCATGCATGGTTTTCCAGTGAAAGTGTGAAGTACAACGACAAATGAGCAGCAAAGGCAAACTGTTTGCACAGTGGACTTCATTGTGAGCCAATGTTGCTTCAGCGCTTGTCTAGTCTCCTCAGTCGCCACCCAGAGTCACAGCCCAGTCGCCATGCCGCTCTGCCCAGTCGCCACGCCGCGCCGCCCGGGTCGCTCAAGAGTCCAGAGAAGCGCTACATGAAAACCGTACTCTGATAAGGGTGAACACATACGAAAAACCATCTGGGAAAAACCGTCTGGTCACTGCCAAGTCCCCTTCGTCTGGGTAGCTACCCTGCCACGGGTGGTGTATCCCGTGGCACCCCGGACGAAGCCGCTGGCCCTGTCGGATGCCGTCCCGAAAGGCCCGGCCGCGGCGGTGGCGCGACCGCGGCGGTGGCGCGTCTGCGGGGCAGTCCTTGAAAAGAAACCCCTGTTCATTCGCTGAAATCCTGTGAATTCCGCATGTGGCCTTCTTTCTGATAGTTCTCTGGAGTCTAAGCAGGTTTTGTAGTCCGGCACGTTGGCAACTCTCTGGTAGTGATAGTGTCAGTTCTTTTTTGGAAGAAGGACAATAGACCAACGCCTCTTGGTTGGGGTCGTTGGGGTCTCCCTATTAAGACACCCCCATGACATATCCTGGGTGTTTCTCCACCCTCGCAGAATCTAGAAACAAGGTCCGCAGCTCCGCAGGTGTCTTTTCTGTCTCGTCCTCTCCTCTTCGGCACTTCTTTCCACCGGTCACCAGCCGCAAGGGAGGCCGTAAGGTCGCCTTCATAGCAGACCACCTGGTGGCAGACCACCACGAGAGCACAGGAGCGGTCTCCCAAAACGAGACAGAGTGGTCTGGGCACAAAAAGGTGATGTGAACAGAAGCTACTCCATAGCTGGGATGGTCAAACGATTCATCAATCTTCTCAGAAGCTACTCCATTGCTGTAAGAGTTCTTGCCAAACCTAGTGACCTGGATACAATGTAGCACAATGCGTCTGAGCATCACATCACACCTCAGCACCTACCTCGACCGGTTGACCTACCGACATCAGATCAAGATACATGGTGGACGGGTCGGGCCCCAGGTGGACGGGAATTCGACCCACCTCGCCTCGTGTCTTTGTTCTCTTGGGTGAAGGCCCACCATGGCCCGTTCACACATCCCGACATGCCCCTCATCCCGTTCCCAATGCCCCATGGCCGACGAGCGTCCGACGGAACACGGATGGTCTCACGGATGGTTCGGTTTGTTGGGCGTCCGGACAGTAGATTGAAATTGTGCCTGTGACATGGCTTTGAATGCCAATGTGAGTCATGCCTGTTGCTGTGGGTGTTCCATTCGGGTCTAAGATCCCGATCCCTCACCCCCTCCGATGCGTTCGGCGGATCGCCATCACGACTTCGGCTCCCGCACTGGCGCCGTCCGGTGGCATCTTCCCATGGGAGTCGACAGCCCTGGGAGCCACTAGCTTCTTGCTACGGCCAGGAGCTTCGTTCGTAGCATCCGATCGCTCCTAGTAAGGCCAGGAGCCCCTAATTATCGTAGCTTTCATGAGACTTAGAAGAGGAGAAGAGCTCTGATAAAATCTAACAACCCTCACTTGGCAGATGGGGAACTACAAAGTGCAGTTTGAATCAGCCATCTTCATGGTTTGTTTTTCTCGTCATCCCTACAAGTCTAGTTTGACCCAGCTCCAAAACCTGGTCAAGGGAACATCTCCTTAGTGTTTTTTGTATGACCAACTCCAGGTCATTAACCGGTACCCTGGCCGCCCTGGCCGTGCTGGCCGCCCATTGGCTTCCGTTCGTGTCTTACCGGTCGTGTCCTAAAAAGAATAGGTCGATGATCGATGTGGCGAATCCCAGACCATCCATGTCTGGAAGAGTTACATAATACATGTACCCCATTTATATTATATATATAGCTCCAGTGTAGGTAACTATTCCAGTCCCATGGGTCACTGGATGGTCTCGGAATAGCTTCGTTTGATCACCACATAGCCGCGTTGAGAGACTGGGGCCATCGATCGCCGCATCGAACGAACCGAAGGCCTTCCTACCTGTGACCTTTCTCATCCCGTGACCTCTTTGGAGTCTCATCCCTTGACCAAACTGACAGGCCAATCACCAAGAGTCACATGGAGGCCAGGATGGTTTTGAGTCCCATCCAGGGCTCGTGGATGTGACGTTCGGGCACCCCAACTACCTCCAAGCTCGGCACCCCCACCTGTGACTGCTGGCAGTGATTATTTCTTGGGATCTCAAACAGCTACTGACTGAAGCTCCGGACAGAGGCTTCTTTGCGGGCCAATCAAGCGAGCGTCTGCGTGACGTGAGCCCACTACAACCCTGTCCAGACAGGACACCCAAACAGGATGGTTTAGGAGGGTGAAATTGCGGCGGGACCACAGGCTCTTGAATACTGTTGTTGCTGTAGATGTTTTTTTCACCTCGTCAAGCAGCACTACCACTCGCCAACTTATACCGTTCGTGAGCAAATTGCATCTGCAGATCGATGAAATTTGCATCAGATCAATGAAATTCACTGTCTTCAAAGGAGCAAGGCAACAACAAAGAACCCCCCTCCACTACTCAATTGTTTGCCAGGTGGTCCTCCATTCCCTCCTTCTCGTCGTTGAACGAGCCTCATGGACTCCGTCCATCCCCCAGCGACCGAACGCTCCGGCCACCGAGTCTATGCCCCTCCACCTGCTTGGCGTGCTTCGCCGGATACCCCGAAGAAGCGCCTCAGGGCCAGACCGGAGACCGTGTGCCCGGTGGGCATGGGTGTTGCCCGGTGGGTAGAATAAACATTGCGTTACATCTTCCACTTATTGCAGCATGTGGCATGTGTTCTTCACAAACACCGCGATTCCACTCAAGATTGCTTCAAGGAAAGCGAAAAGGAAAGAGTGATTCAATCAATTGATTGATGGTTGCTTTTTCCAGGGACCATGAAGGTCTCTGCTACGACTATCTAGTACAAGGAACCACCTGAAGCCTCTGCAGAAGATATTCCGCATCAAGCGAAAAAGAACATGATCAAACAATATTAGCAAAAACAAGATGGAACCCACGAGCCCGAACGCAACTACGTTTGAATGGTTACATATGCCGATTTTTATCCATTAAGAGAGGGGAGGCCCAGTACGCAAAGTTATCACAGCGACTTCTGTGTACATAAGCATTTGCGACATGTGACTGCTGAACATACACACCTGGCCAAACCCATTTTCGGACACTCTCATGGGGCACTCTTGCAGAACTGTCTTGCAGGACTGTCTTGTGGGACACTCTTGCGGAACACTCTTGCGGGACACTCTTGTAGGACACTCTTGTGGAGCACTCTTGTAGGACACTCTTGTCGGACATTCTTGTGGGACACCCTTGCGGGACACTCTTGCGGGACACTCTTGTTTGTCACTCTTGTGGAACACTCTTGTAGGACACTCTTGTGGGACACCCTTGTAGGACACTCTCGGACACACTTGTGGCTCGCTAATCCCAATGTAACTGCGCAGAAACCTGCCGATCTCACAAAACGCTGCGCCTGCGCAGTGAACTCATCCTCCACACTTCAACATCTGATGTTTCCACACATTTCCTCGCTATTTCACACGAATCTGACACATCACGCTTCCACGCCAAACCCTCTCCAAAAGCTTCTCCCAATGGCAGCGGCCTTAGCGCTCTACTGCGAACGGCGGCGGACGGTTGCGGACGGTTGACAACGGTTGCGAAGGCTGAGGCAACACGTCGCGAACAAGGCTCTACCCCCAGACCCCCAGAGTTAAACAAGAACCCTTCGCTACGCATTCCGCGCATTCGGGAAAAACGTCCCAGGAGTCACATGTTGGGGGTGGTGTTTAGTCCCATCCAGTGAGTGGATGTGACAGGGGCGGGGCACCCATTAAAATTGGTGGAAAGCACCCATGTTGGAACTGCTGGTAATTATTAGCTTCTTGCTACATCTTGCTACTAGTAGTGGTAGGAATGACCTCCACCCTAATGGCCTCCACCTAGTAGCGGCCTTGCTACTACTGCGACGTCCCGGTGCTTCCCCGGACGGTGCCGTTGACTCCGCCCAAAACGGAGCAGGAGTCCATTCCCTGGGGTAGGTGGACAAACGTTGAAAACAGGTTTACTGAATTCTACATGGAGTGTTTGGGGTGAAAAAGCTCCCCAGTTGAAGCTCAAAACGTTCAAAGTCACTTCACGTCACATCTCGGCACCCGTCCCCTTCTCCCTTCGGCACCGTCCGTCTCCACGGGCGTGGCCAAGAAGAGCAAGGCCTTCCACATCCGTGGCGATGCCCAAGGACAGGGGAACCGGACGGGGGGGCCACATGTGGATAGGGGATTCCAGGCCCCCATTCCATAGGCGAAATGGTGAGCAAGCGCCCATTGAATCCATTGAACCCATTCCATGGTAGGATTCCTGAAGATCTTGGGAGGCTAGGGTATATGATAGGGTGTTTGAAGTGCTGCAGGAGATTAGAGTCATCACATAACACATTTTACATGTTCTGCAGTGCTGCAGCTGTCTGCTAATTATCAAGTGTTCAGGAGCATGCGCGCTTCATGGCTTTTTCTCGGCAACGCAACCCTTCACTTGCCAACCCTGAGCTGCTCAACCCTGGGTGGGGCGACATGTCAGCAGAACAAGAAGGACTCCCCAAACCAACACCCATTGTGAAACACTCAACACCCATCATATCTGTGACTGTGGACAAATGAATTACTGTAATTATATTGAATGATGAAACATGACGAAACCTATTCATTTGATGTAATGTGTGATATTGTGTGATAAACAATAGAAGCATATTCACAACTCAGAATACAGTAATACACTCGAACCTGTGACACATTGTGAAACCATGAATACACTCGACACACAAAACGAGAGGTGCACGTCTCGTTCCACAGCCGAGACAAGTGTGGCACCAACACTCTCCGGACTCTGTGTCCAAGGCCCAACGCTCCCTGTCCAACGCACACCTCCATGTTCCCCAACAGCACTTTGCGTTGGCACTCGACATGCCATCGCCCTGCCATCGCCTGCCATGGCTAAGCGAGCTCAGCGGGCTTTTGGAGCCGCGAACGGTGGTTTGGCAGGGCGAAACACACAGAATGAGGCACGACAGGTTCTGACAGGTTTCAATTCCGGCTTTGAGTGATTTCTTGAAAGACTTGCAGCATCAAGTGAGCACTTCTTGATTGAAAAAGAGGTGAGGGTGTTTTTAAGAGTCTTGCTCCTATGAGTTCATAAGTTCTGATAAGAAGTCAGGTCTCAGTGCGGACCCTGCTGTCCAATTTGAAGTGGCCGAAGTCTTCCATTTTGCGGAGCACCGGGTGCAGACTTCGGTTGCCGGCCCCCCAGTCATTTGGCCTGACGAATCTGTGGTGCCACCAACTGGAAAATCCAATATGGTATGGTCGACGTTTGTTCCTTCAAGGACACTTCGAATGGTACCCTACCAGTAATGTAGACTGTTGATGGATTAAACAAGAACGCAGTCTGCATAGCTGGACCTCCCAGGTGCACTCGCAGTGTTCAGCTGCTGTGGACCGTCCCCAACGCCGTGTTCCCAAGTAAGCCCATATACGACCCGAACTTTGCCTTGCCTGGATCAAGGTCTTGGAGTTGGCCTATCCCGGACCAGACGAATGGGACTGGAAGAGTGACTAACCCTCCCTACATGGACAAGTCATGCAAAGTTCATGGGGCATGTATATATAACTATAACTACCTAGACCCTCCAAGTACCTCAGAAAAATGGGTACAAGCGGTACAAGTACCTGTTTTCTGTTCGGGTCAAACGGCGCCGTTGGGAAAATCGTCTTCCGGACGTCCGGATGCTCAGGGTCTTCCAGTCGAAGCGAAGCTTATTATGGAACATAAACCAATAAACCGATCAACTGGCTGTTAATGAGTTCCTGGATTTCTTGGACTTCCATGCAAAGGTTGGTTGCGAGACCTCTGCTGGGTCTTGGGAGCTTTTCACATGATTTCACCTTTTTGTGCGGTTTCACTGATCTCAGCAAGGGACTTCCCTGTGATTGCCATGGCTTGGCCATGGAGGACGTGACTTTGGGGGTTAACAAGCATCAGTTGACCATCACCCACATGTAGCCCAGGTCCGCCCAGCTCACCCATGACATGACACTAATGAACTGCTTAGGTAGTCCACTTGGCGCAGGCATGCTAGCTGCTAGATCTCTTTGAGTCTTCCGCTGCTTGGGCCACAACAAACTCACAGCTGACCTTGCCAGCACTCACCTTTCCACTTCTGAACTAAGAATGGTGGGGAAAGTTCATCCTTCGCCACTTACCTGAAACACAGTGCGCACAAATGTCAGTACCCAAGGGTTTCAAAGCTCTCATGGTCCATACAGTTCCTTTCTTGACAAGGTGTGTGCTAAGAATCTACGAATGAGAATATAACCATATAGCAAGCTTGCGCAGCATGAATGCCTCACAACTCCCTTACGCAACCTTACGCTTTTCAGGTTGTTGCTTATTACGCCCAGGTGCCATATGACAAGGCCTTTACTTGGTTCATCTTGGGAGGTTTCTTGCGGCACTCATGTGCGCCGCAGCTTCGCCTGGTTCGTGAGCAGCGCCGCTCGCCCGGTGCCCAAGCGCAAGACCTCGATGGACCCAAGCGGAAGAGGAGCGGTCAAGTGACGTCGAGTGCAGCGCGACCTCGAAACACTAAAGCAAGACGAAACACTCAAGCAAGCGGGGGATCCCTCCCTCAGGCCACCTGCTAAGATGCAGCACCTCAAACAGAACTTGCAAAAGACTTTAAGTGAATTCTGGTGTTCACGTGGTTCAAAAAAGAACACTCAAAGTTAATTAGTTGGAGACCCGGTTTTCTAGTTTGGAAGATCTTGTGGCTGGAGGGTTTGCAAAAAGCTGGCAACAATAAGTTCAATTGGTTTCTTTCGTGGGAATCGTCAAAAAAATCATTTGGTTGAGGGAACACAGAGCGGGAAGTTTGCTAAAGGGTATGAACATACTTTTTCGTTCTCACAATTTCACAACGAGCACTCCTGGGGCGCGCGCTCGCCAGAATTCCGCCAGCACTGCGGGGTACAAGGCCAGGTTGTCTCGGAAAGCGGGCAGCACAATTCATAGGGCCGCGCTGTGCACAGGAGCCTATTCTTTGCCAAAAACCATCCACTGAGCAGGAAGGGTTTGAGTCTTCAACAATCTTTCAAGAAGCTCCACCAACAAAAAACAGGACAACGGCAACCGTACCTTATCGGGAAAAGAAAAACGTCCCGGCAACAAAAGCCTGTCACCCAAAACAAATACAGTACACGTCTTTCCCTGCAAGAAGTCGACACATCCTCACAACATCCGACCAACGAATGATAGATACATCCCGATGCCGAACTTCCTTGGCACATCGCGGTGAACAGCTCCGTTCCACCTGTTCGATCACTCCGCAGGGAAACCAATTCCCCCCCAAAACACAAAAACATGTTGTGATCCACGGTACTTTTCCTGGTAGGAATACTATTCCCCACAAAATCAACAAAAACATACAAAAACTGTGATCCGCTTTTGCTGGGTAGGAATCATATTCTCTCTTGAATCCTAGGACCCTTGGACATCGGCCGACCGAACCAGACACCACCAGTCACCACTCTGAGCGATCGCGGTTGACCCCCGGTCGCCTTCCAAGACCATTTAAAGAAAAGGTTGACCTTTTGTAGTGTATACCATCCAATCGGTGTCTGGAGGTCCCTAAGAAGTGGAGGGTCCATTGGTGACACAGACAGGATGGTGGATTCAGTAAAATTGTTCGGGATTCAGGCTAGTAACAGCTGGTACATCAATGGTTGGAATCTTAGAGAATTCTAGGACTTCACCCTCCTCACCCACGGAGCTCCTCCACATCCTCACCCGGAACTGAACGGATGGAGGGTCCTCAGACGAGTCGGGCGGGGCGCCCAACCCTCTTCGCTGCCGTACCTGGCGACACGTGGGCCGCGGAACACAGCGGAGAATCGAGAGATCTCCATTCGAATGAGATCGACTCGCCCAGAAAAAAATGAGTCTGACTTGGGAACCATGATGGATGACTTGCCATGATGGATGACTCTTGCCATGATGGGAACCACCATCATCCATCAAGCATCTCCAGTGACAGTCTGACTTGGGAACCATCATCCATCAAGCACCTTTCTGAGCGCCTGAAAGAGAGGGTGGAACACCCTCCCCAGCGCGGGGTCTCTGAAGTGGACTACCCTACAACGCTCGATCCATGGGAACAAGACTAGCACACTGGCGCGGATCAGGCACATGGGGTGGGTTTGAAAGGTCAATGTAGGCATATCGATCAAACATGTATATAGATATATGTATGCTTATATAGTATATATGATATTTTTACAGATATATATGTGATTTAGGCCTACTCCCAAATGCTCAAAACCAGTCCCCCCCTCATATACATTTCTAGCTCTGTTTCAGTCTTTGTTTCATATCTTCTACACTACAAAATGGATCAAAATGGTGACAATTATTCAAAAATATTCAAAGCTTCCCACCACTCCCCCCCTCAGTGCTTTTTCTGCGAGGCGAGTGAACCCAATCTTGCGTCAGATCTTTGCGGTCTGATCCTGAGCTGAACGAGACCGGTGGCAAACAGTAGGGTGGACACTTCCATGGCCGCTACAGTGTGGGAGAAACACTTGGCGACTTGCAAATGGGTCAGGGAGAAGGGGCGCAGAAGGAAAAGCACCATTTGAATCATGTGGCAACCAATGCTGCAGAACTTGGGCTCCAA